CTTCTAGAGACTCAATGCTGGCTTTACTTGCATTTTCAAGTGATGTAATCCTATATATATATGTATATATATATATATATGGCCCTACGACACTAGTCAGTAGTCACTACATTGCATGGTCTGAATTTATTGTTATACACTATTTTTTATACATGTACATCATCCTTCTTCAATCGTCATTTGCCCCAGTTCCAGCAAATTCAAGGCCCCAAGGCCCTTGACTCCATGATTGAATCCAACACCAGTGACATGTGGGGGACCCAAAAGTAATATGCATTTTGAGCAGAGGCGGTAAAACATACTCAAAAAATATGCATTTTGCAATATGCATTTTTCAGAATTTGCTATGGGGTGAAAATATGCATTTTACCTAGGTAAAATGCATATTTTTTGCATATTTCCACAAAAATGTTTGATTTCAACCATTTCCATCAATATGCATTTTCGAGGCCCTGGAAATATGCAAAAAATATGCATTTTACCTAGGTAAAATGCATATTTTTTGCATATTTCCAAGGCATCAAAAATGCATATTTCCACAAAAATGTCTGATTTCAACCATTTCCATCAATATGCATTTTCGAGGCCCTGGAAATATGCAAAAAATATGCATTTTACCTAGGTAAAATGCATATTTTTTGCATATTTCCAAGGCATCAAAAATGCATATTGATGGAATTGTCATTGTGAATTGCTGGGAAATGTGTAGAATATACAGAGAATATGCAAAAAATATGCATTTTACCTAGGAAAAATGCATATTTTCACCCCGTAGCAAATTCTGAAAAATGCATATTGCAAAATGCATATTTTTTGAGTATGTTTTACCGCCCCTGCTCAAAATGCATATTACTTTTGGGTCCCCCACATGTCACTGGTGTTGGATTCAATCATGGAGTCAAGGGCCTTGGGGCCTTGGGTTTGCTGGAACTGGGGCAAATGACGATTGAAGAAGGATGATGTACATGTAAAAAAAAATAGTGTATATAACAATAAATTCAGACCATGCAATGTAGTGACTACTGACTAGTGTCGTAGGGCCATATATATATATAAAAAATGTTTACATCACTTGAAAATGCAAGTAAAGCCAGCATTGAGTCTCTAGAAGCTTTCTTTGTTCATTGATTACATGGTGGTTTGGGGGTAGTAGTTAGCAGATAGGACCTGCCATGTTGTATGTTCAATGGACAGGCATGATCTCTATATGCATTATAGTATGCATTCAGTGGTGGGGCAACTGAAACATATGCATTTTTGAATATGCATTTTCAAATTTTGAATATGCATTTTCCTGGATTTTTGAGCATGGCTGCTGTAGCCAAAGGTATTTCATAAGAATATGAGAATCTATTGAATATATGTCATATAAATAATTGGCCAACTCCCTGAATCTATGTGAATATATAATTGAATATATGTCATATATGACATATAACGTTTATAATATGATATATATATATATATGAATGTTTTGCTAATTTTCCCACAATTCTCGAGCCTGAAGCTGGGTGATATTGGGAAAGTTCACAACTGCTGACATCGTGGCCCTGGATTGCCCGGCCTGCGGCCCTGGTGCTTTCGAGGTCGCCACCGTCGCTGCCACTTCAGGCGTCACTAAAGGCACCTGGTGGTGCTTCAGGATGGGGATGGTAAACGTTGGATGAAACTTGATTAACCCCCCTCAATTCATCTGCTTGGTGGTTGAGCCACCCCTCTGAAAAATATGAGTTTGTCAGTTGGGATGATTAAAACAATTTCCAAACCACCAATCAGTCATTTTGGTGTGGTTAAAACAATGCCATTTTTACCACTCATTTGGGAATGGTAACCATAGCACCTGTAAAAATTGTGAAATTGGGGATGGTTTATGACATTGTTTTACCACTATTAGGGGGCCTCCATCTTGGCACGGTTCCCGAATCCGATATGATTCAGAATTCTTCGGAACGCGAAATATCAACGATGCTAAATTTACTTCTGCATTTGCGTGTCAAGTGGCTTCCATCGTGCTTCATCCCGTTAGAATTAGATGTTGGTGATGTCACCATAGTCCCTGGTTCATGATCCTGACGCTCCACCTATAGGATTTGAATCGCTATAGGTTTTATTCATGCTCAGTATCCCCTAAAGAGTTTGGATGTTCCCATAGAAATCTTCGTAACAACAAAAGTCTTCACGGATTTTCAGCCTCTGTCTTCGCTGCTTCAGCTACTTCAGCTGCATGCCTCAGTACTGAGCGGCCAACACGACCCCAGCTACTCAGGGTAAACATCGAAACAAATGTGGGAGGGTCCTTAAATGGAGGTACCCCCAATAGCTGGATGGTTCACAATATATATATAATGTTATAATGGAAAATCCATCTATACATGGATGAGAACTCGGGGTACCCCATGTGGATAAACCATGGGGCGTTTCCCCAAAAGTGAGCTCAAGGGAAATTCCACGACGAACCTTTGGGGCTGGACACATTTAAGGAGCCGCTCTTTGCAACGCAAATCATCGATTTCCCATGATGTTACGGCCATGGCTATTAGTTATAACTGGTTATAAAACTATGGGATTATACATTCTATAAATGGGATTTTGTTGGTACTTATAACTGGTAAAGGGCCATAACTGCATGATGTTACATATATCTTTCCATGCTTGTTGGGCCATGATGGTGGGTTTTGGCAGAACCGATGGGCGAGGTGTCAAGGGCAGTTTGTTTCCTTCCTTTTGTTTGGTTTTACCTTTTGGGGATGTTGAGTATTGGAATATTAATTGCGATATTTTGTGCTTGGATGGGCCTCCCAAAACATAGAGGGGTAGAGAATGATTATAGAAAGGCTAGGGAAGGCTCTTACTGTGAGAGATTTCTTGCAAGAAATTCAATGCGTGTTAGGAACTTCCAAAACGATAGACCAGTTAAACCCCACAAGATAGAACAATAAATTCCGACTGAAGTTGTAGGTTCAATAGCTGTTCGATCTTTTTTGGGTGCACATCGAGTCAGAATTCAAAAGGGCCAGGGTCCCACAGAAATTTGTCACTTTCATGGTAACCGGTCACGATTTCTTTTGGTTGGGCATCCCAATCTTTGACTCACACCCATATGATTGATGATATTGATGCCAGGTTTTTTTCCCAGTTAGGGTGGGCCCTTATTCGTATGAGTATTGACTCCCCACTTGTAAGAATTATGCCAATTCAGTATGATCCTGGTCACTTTCCAGAGATGGACTGGGGAGAAGTAGCTGGTTTCTGTCCCAAAGTTCCCTTCTTAGCGCAGGCTGACAACCAATAAAACCAACATACACCTGGAACTTAAAACATACACTTCAATAAGTTTTCAATCCCAAAGAACTCTACAATAAGCGTTCCTTTGATGTTCTAGGCGCCATGAAACCAACGAAAAAAAAATCCTGCACTTCGTCAAATCCCATTCAAATACACCTCAGCCTGGCTGTTCATTCATAGATTGAAACAGCGATAGCATTCCTCGCTCGAGACAGCAACATGTTACTCGACCCAAATCATACTATTCAATGAACAAGCATCCACTGTGCAATCATCTGAATTAAAAGTTTCATCAATGCAAGATGGTATTAAGCCTTCAACAATGCACAGCCCGAAATGTTGCCGTATCCATGTCCAATCTTTGCTACCCAAAATATTCAAAAAAACTGGTTACAATAAACACTTCACATTTCCAGTGTACCTTCTGCAATCAAACATTTCAAAGAACAACTTACCATTTATATTCATTTAGAATCATTAAGAATGATTTGGCAGTGTGTCAAAACCTTGTACCCCTGTAGTTCACATCAAAATAGCTGGTATTTATGGATGTTCATCCCATTAAAATGGTATTTTCATAGGTATTGATCCCTACCCATTTATAGGTTATTTTCCCAGCTACAACTCTCCATTTAAAGTTCAGGGCTTTCCCAGCCACGAAGGCAGAAACCTGTGTCTCCGATCTCATCTTGGCCCTCTTTCGGCTCCGATAGCTCCTGGAGCCAGCAAGAAATGCCGGATGGTCTGAGGATCAACATCTACAACGTTTAGACACATGAGAAAAATAAGGAAAATGGAAAACAAACTTGGCAACATCGTTACATATGAACAACATGATATAGACGGTCAGACTTGGACATGTCTTCTGGGATGTTCACTTGACAACAAAAAACAAACAATCGAAAACATGCGACAAGAAAACAGCAGACTTCTGCATACTTCATTGTGAAGTTGCAAATTCAATAAGTCTCCAACAAAACACTTCGGAGATACCTTGTTTTTCTCAATCATACCGAATCATCCCCGGTTGCCTGTACTTTGGTGCTAGATGGCTAGGTCCAGGTAAAAAACTGTGGAGTACATCGGTAACAATATATCCTCGAAGCATCGGCAAGATCCTCTAAAGAGACACACTTCAATATAGTCAAGAGGTCAGTGAGGTCAGGACCCCGGTTCCAGTTTTCCAAAATTCGCTGTTGAGTACGAAAATGACATGACATGATGATAATGGACCCATCACTGCTTCTATATGAGACCAAATGCCTTAGATTTCTGTCTTTCGGTGCAGCTAAAAGTTCAGTATGAAGACCGAGGATAGTTTGGGATCCAAATCTGAGAATTCAGTGATTATGTCAGGTGCAGAATATGCAGAGCACACATATTGCTGCTTTGCAGTGTAGAGCTTCAATGCTCTCTTCTACTTCGATGAACTCTCGCATACATCTGGTCAATGTTGGCATGTTGGCTTACATCTTGACTTCACAACATCCCTTTGTGCTTCCTTTAAATCAATCCAGTCACTTTGTGCGTTTTCTCAGTTGTCAAGTCTGATATCCCTACAGATATGGCCTCAAATACCAGTTACTGTTTAAGTCTCTGAACTTACCCTATTTATTGTTCATGATAACACCGTTTATCACCATAAAACAACATACCAATAAGGTAAAATAGGTCTAAATACAACTGGTTTCAAGTTGCAAGGGCTTTAACTGTATTCATTCTTGCCCTTGGCCAGACTCCTTCAAGTCCTTGACATCTGCATCTTTCGGCGAGTCTTCCTGCAAATCATAACGCCGGAGAGAGGAGCTGTGTGTTTTTTTTGGTCCTATCTTCCGAATTTTGTTGGTTGGTCTGAAAATGGGATGCCACCTGAAAATGGGACGCCACCCCAATTCCAATGGGATTTATCTTAATACATGAGGTACAATCTGGGTTTAATCACAAATATTTGGCACACGCCCAATTCATGATCAACCCATCAAATTTGGGAATATCCGAATATCCTCATGGTTATCAAACGAACCCGAAACCCCCATGAGGTACATGGAATTCTCCGGGTCTTCAGCACCTCTGTTCACTGAGAAACCATCCCATGGTCGGCTTCAGCGGCATGCAATGCACTGCTGTTGCTCTGGTCATCAGTGAAAAACTGTAGCGAGTTCCTGGCAAACTCAGAGGATCCCACTTGTAGCAACAGCGGGTCACCACGTGACCCAATGCCTTCACTCAACTCGCCTCGAAAGCTCAGTGAACCACGAAGGCTTGCGAGTTGCGAGTGAATTCCAGGCTCCATGGGACAAACCGAATCCCCATGCGACTGGGCCACTCGAAATCTATGTCAATGATTCAAATACTGGGGACACATTTTAGTCTGAATCTGTGGGATTTTTTGTTGTAGCCTTTGAGGCGGTTTTTGAATCTATAGGACATGGTGAATCCATTCTGTTGCACAACCACCTTCCTCTGGATCACCACAACACAACCCAGGATTTCGAAGTCCATGAGCCTAGGTCGATAATTTCAATTCTATTCCACACCTATATAAGAGCAACAAAAGGAAAGACAAATTTTGATGTGCCGATACGTTACACCAAATTCCGATGGTCCAATTCTTTCCATCGCAAAATAATGTTTCAGAACCGTTTCTGGACAAACCAAAGTCTTAACTCCAAGTACAGCTTGATCTGCCAGAAAACACAGGTTACATCCGAAAGCATCATGGTGTATATTTACATATATATATATAAACATGTTATATAATAAAACATATAACATCATTACAGCATAACACATGTTACGTCCACCCTACAACACCCTCACCGCAAAGGAAACAACAAAAAACACACACACAAATTCGTGCAAACATGATTGACAATAATATCAAATAATATGTCAATCAATTCCTTTTCTATATGTTTTGTGTTGCTCCCCAAAAAATCAAAAACGTGTTGTTTCCACTTTTGGGTTTGCTATAGCTGGACCCATGTTCAACCCCAAACGTAGGATTCAAATCCTTATGTTCCATTGCAAATATGCCGTAATGACTTCTATCATTTTCTGGAATTTTGATCCAGATGAACTCACCATTGGTTTATCCATTGTAATTACTTGTTGGTTCATAGGCTTAAGGATTCCATTGATGGATGATGGCAATCCCCAATATGTTGGAAACTATAGTTACTATAGTGTCCCCAGCAAATTTTGCACGTGAAGAGCATGTGACAGTGGCCAGAGATTGATGCAGTTTGCATATGGCATTCACAGGTTTCGATGGTATAACCCCTGAACTAATCATCCACCAACAGAGGGTAAGGAGCGGCTTCTCAATTAAGCATGGCCCATACATGGTTTCCCATCACTCCCATAAAAATCCCAATGATATAACCATGTTACCTAGCGGCCAATACCCCATTGGATCCGATTGAAGAAAGTAAATTCAGCATGTTGTTATTGCTAAACCCACCATTTTTCATAGGAGACACCACAATGGTTTTGTCTGAAGAATAGGTTGCCCCAAATTTGATGCTTAATCAGGCCTAATCATAATTTTCTCTATTTTCACGGCAGTTTTATAAAATGTGGGGCCCTCAAACGATAGCTGAGTTTGTTTATAACTCCAATACCAACCATCATCACTGGGGGGGCCACATTGTGTTCAAAAAAGACCAGGTAAGAGACTCCAAACAGTGCGGGGTGTGGGAAAATAATGTATAATGTTGATGAGGATGATAATGTTGCGGACGATGATGTAGAGGATGATGATGTTGAGGATGATGAGGTGCAGGATGATGATGTTGAGGATGATGAGGTGGAGGATGATGATGTTGAGGATGACGATGTTGAGGATGAAGAGAATGAGGATAGTAATGCGGAAAATGAAGCTGGGGATGATAAGGTGGAGGATGATGATGTTGAGAAGGAGGAAGATGATGATGTTGAGGATGATAATGTTAAGGAGGAGGGTGTGGAAAGGATGATAAATGATAAAATGATGATAATGTTGCGGAAGATGAGATGGAGGATGATGACGTTGCGGAAGATGAGGTGCAGGATGATGATGTTGAGGATGATGAGGTCGAGGGGGAGGAAGAATGATGTTAACGAGGAGGAGGACCGATCCCAAGACCGGGACCCACACTTTGTGCAAGCCTGCGCAGTCGAAATGCACGTGGAAATGTCACAAGAGCAACTTGTTGCAAAAAAATGCAGGTAAAATGCCGCGGACCAAGACCGCGACACAGACTTTGTGCGAGCCTGCGCACGAAATGCACTTGGACGTTTCACAAAAGCCATTTTGCGCGAGAATTTACAGGAAGAACGCCGGAGCCCAGGTGGAGCACCCTGATCAAGCACCGGCCTCTACACCTACCGTAAGAACCCCTCAGTGTAGACACACTGTTTGGGGAAAAAAGTGTTTGAGGCTTAGTTTCCACTTTAAAAAAATGTGATTTTCAAGGTCAAGCTGTTCATTTACCAGAGCGTATACCGTATACCATATACCCCATTCAATGCCTTTTCATCCCATTACATGTCAATAAATGTCATTAAATCCCAGTAAATGTCATTATAAATTCCATTAAACCCACATTTTCCGTAGTGAACCTCCCCATGTTCAAATACGAGTACCCACAGCCAATTCAGCAACCGCACCTGCGTCACCTCCGACACGTGCGACACGTGCTCCGAGCCGCTGGCGTCGTCCTAGCGATGTACAAAGTGGTGCCCCCAGTCGATAGGTGAGCTGGTTTATAACTTCGAACTAGTTATATAATGGGTGTTAAAAACCAATGTATAACTAGGGGGGCACCACCTTGCAGTATTTCTTGCCTGCTTCGTGGGTACCCATAGAAAAAGGAACAGTTTGACAAAGAAATGAGTAAAGTGAGTGTGTGCTCTGGAAGTATTTGTCTGTTTTCTTGGGAATTCCAGGCAACACACAAACACAAACAACTTCCCTGTCCGTGAAAATAGAGGGGTACAATCTCTTCCCATAGAGATCGAGAGAGAGAGAGAGAGAATCCAGCGTCCAAGGTTTTATCTTGAAACATGCTAAACTTAGGAGGTTCCAACTCCGAACCTACCAGGAACCACTAGCAATTTTGCTGATCATTCAGTATCACCAGGATCATCAAGACCGTAAATGCTTAAACATATCTATCAGCTAGCGACCTGCTACATCTATCGAATCATGCAACCCGCTGAGGGAGGTCGTTGTCGATTCTGCTGTCGATTAGTGAAAAGAGGCGCTCGCTCATTTCGGACTACAAACTCTTTGTTAATTTTCACAGATCACATCTATATAATCCTGGACCAGCAAACGGGCAGAAAAAAAAGGTTGTTTTGGTCAATGACCCTGTTTTTAGCCAATTGACCTATTTTGGGTCAGATCGGGCAATTCAACCCAAACGACCCAAAATGGCTGAAATTTGGCTGAAATCAAATTTTCTATGTGTTTCCATGGTGTCCCAATCCCATAACTTCACTTTCTTTCACCATAGCTACACTTGTAGCACTGATTGACCCTTGACGTGTTTGACTGGATCCATGGGGCCTGCGCTTTCAGGCCTGAGCCTCCTCTCTGCTTTTTCTTTTATTCTTCGCAGAGTTGGTGCATTGTTCAGGGATTGGATGCCAATTGGCATAAATTTCAATGCTGTATGACACGTGTTGTTCAGATTCTGGCTCGCAAATCTGTACCATCTGAGACAGCTGTGTGTTTGTCTGCGTGTGGGACTTCACGCATACGACTATTTAATTGGCGTTATTCACAACACCTACCCTAAGTCTCTTTTTCTATTAAATTTAGTTTTTGGCTAAATTTAATTAAGTTGCAAAATTTAGTTTACTAAACTAGTAAATTGTCAACTAAAGTAATTTTTTGGCAACCGAAGAAAATGCATGCTTTTTTGCTCAAAATGCATGTCTTTTGTTCTTTGGTTATCTTGTTGTGATTGAGGAAAGCACAACAAGCAAAGTACATAATTTCCAAAATGAACATGAAAGACTTGGGATTTGTACACAAAAAGATTCATCCACAAGCTACAAATAGTGCTGCCAATCTGCTGTTCAATACATACATTGATATGTAGACCAATGATCTTGCACAAGTAAGAATAAGCAAAGAAAGAAAACCACATATCTCAAGTAAGTTATATATATATACATATGATAGGATATGGTATGGTTTGACACAAGTATCACACAATTGCTTAATAGGACATCAACCATTGCATGGACAATGGAATGGATTTGAACTGAAGGTCACAAGTTGTTTGTTCATCCAGGTTTGTTTATGAAGCCAAAGGACTGAAGTTGCTCATCAGCTCATAGTTTGAAGCATCAATGATATTAGAATGAAAAGCTAAAACTATGTATAGTTCATAGTTGCTTGAAGCAGACTTTTGTGCCAAAGTGTGATCTCTTTTCATCAAACGCAAGATTTTTCTTCTATAAATATATATAATTTGTACAACATTTGGTATGTATTCTATATGCATTTTATATGCTTTTTATATGCACTTTTTAAAAATGCATGCATTTTTGAGAAAAGTGCATGTATTTTTCCCAAAAATGCATGCATTTTTAAAAAGTGCATATAAAAAGCATATAAAACGCATATAAAATGCATATATATATATATATATTTTCACCTGTTTTGTATTTATTTTTCATCAAAACCAACACACATTTTTGGATGTTTCTATACTGGCATTCTTGTGCTGAATTTGTTTTGCTGGATTGGCTTTGCACACTATTGCAAGTAAACAATTGAACTTATGGATTGCATACCCTAAAAAATATAGTTCCTTATGGGTACTTATGGCCACATCTGAATAGATTTTACTTGAGTCACATGTAAGCTCAGGTAACTACAACTAATCACAAGTAAACTCAAGTAACTACATAAATGTCCAAAAATTACTGGTGGAAAAAATCTCAAGTAAAAATATCTCAAGTAAAAATATTCAGCAGCAGTGAAGCACAGTCCCAAGCCTCAAATCATGTCGTTCTTCTAGTTAGTGTTTCAAAAATTCACAAAATTACAAATACAATTGCTGAGCATAAGCAATGAAACATGCACAAAATGTGCTAACTCTTAGAACAAAGTAACTAGTTTTTACAATGTGAAAATCATGCCCTAAAAATTTACTAGTACTACTAAATCAATTTACTAGTACTACTAAATCAATTTACTAATGCTACTAAATTTCATTTACTTTACTATTTACTAGGAAATTTACCTAAATTTCGTCTACTAAACCACGAAATTTACCTAAATTTTAAGTCTACTAAATTTAATAGAAAAAGAGACTTAGGGTAAGGCAGTCATGTAAAACACGTATGATTCACGTATTCACGCCGCAGATTTGGGACAGCAACTCCCCGCAAAACAGCAAATCCTCAATTTTCAACTTTTTTCGGACCAAAACTACCCCGCAAATCGGGCGCAAAAACCCGCAATTCGCACGCAAAAGCCCGCAAACGGACGCAAATCAGGATTTCTGCCCTGATGTGCTTTGACAAAATGTGTTTTATCGCAGCAAAGCGAGGTTTTAATGGCAAATTCTTTGATTTAGCACGCAGACACACCAATAGGTTGATTGCTGACTGCATAGCTGTAGCCATTCTTGGGATGCTTTTCAACACACTTAGTGGATCAGATTTCTTCTTCATGAGGCCCTGTTCTACGTTTGAGAAGGGGGTATAGAAGTGCTTTTCAGTTCTTAAGATGATTTTCTTTGTCATGGCCCAGTGACTGAGGCTGGGGGTGTTGGCAAGACGAAGATCACATCGGAAGATGTTCACGGTTGTCACGTTCCGAATGTCACCACCTGCTTTTTATATAACAATACAGACGTGTTTGCACCTTTACCGGCAGAAATTGCTGAAGTTTGGGTGATTTGATGTGATGTGGCAAGAGACTCCACGTGTGGAAATAAGACCTGGCAGAATTAATTGAGATCGCGCAGAAATGGCCCAAACCGGGCAAAATTACCATTATTTTCCGAAACGGGCAGAAAACCAAAACGACCAAAATTTAATGGTTGTTTGATGATACAGGACTAAACATATTCACAACATGGACATAGCGAATAGCAGCATGACGAATCGCATCATATGATGCAACTCCATCTGTTCATATAGCAGAATCGCAGACAAATCGTTTCTATACGAAGTTGGCTTAAATAGTGATTGCCAGACTAGGTCCTATATAGTGATCTCCAAGTCAAAACCATATGCAGTAAATCTATGTAAATCTTGAGTCACCATTCTTTCGAAACTCACCAAAGGTTGCGAAACTGACGAAGCGCCGTCAGTTGCAGAGGAAACCAAGGTGCTATTTTACCGTTCAAAGGGGCCGGACAAGTTCCCGGGATTACAGGATTGCTCTCAGCCCCTGAGGTACAAGGAGGGGAAAGAGGGTAAACTGGGTAAATATTGCGAATGTCCTCCTCTTGTGGCTATTATTGACCAGTGGGCTGTAGCAACTCTGAAGATTTTTGATTAGTTGATGTTATAGCCGTATCTGTATCCCACTATTATATCATGAACTGATCCCAGTAATTTTCTCAGTATATATTCCATTGATCAAAGCTATTTCGAAACAGCTTATAATTATAGATTTCTGAGGAAAAACCAGTTGCGCCTCTGCGAAAGGATCCTCTCCGCCCAAGACTTCTTTGCTGAGAGCAGGCATCTCTGCATCTTGTTGGGCCTGGGTTGGCAATCAACGGTACGGATGGTTGCCAAAGGGAAAACCTAACAACCATGTTGGCATATGGCTATGGATAAAAAAAACATGCTAGCCTGGTGAATCAGATAAAATGGTAAACACATATTGTATTCATTTCACCGAAAGGTAAATATATACACCATATATTTATTCCATCTCCGTATCAAACTATCCAAGTTTGCAGTCCAAGAGGTCACGTGTCAGATTTCTCTCAGAGCTTTGCCTGAGGTTCACATCTCTAGGATTCCAAAATTGTTGGTGTAGGATATTCATTTTGGTGTGCTTCTCTGAAAACAAAAAATGATGCAGACTGATGGACAATGCAGTCATGCTGAACTCTTTGCATGGGTAAACATGTGGTAAACTGGTTAAAATACATGTTGTGAAGATGACTTTCCCATGGTGGTCACTGAGGAGCACATTGTAAAATAGCTATGGGTTGCAACCGACAGTGGTCATGAGCCACCTATGCCTGAGCACCTCTAAACCATTGTGGGTTGCCCCCCTCAAATATGTGTGGCTAGACCCATTTCTGCACCAAAAGACTCCAAGACACCAAAAAAAACAATTTCTTCAGGCCTGAACCCAGTTGGTGTTGGGGGTGAAACTGGGTAAAAAAGGTAAAATAACCCATACCCCTGCGGCTACACTGTACCACCGGTGTGCCTCAACGGTGGTGTCCTCTTGTTGCTCTTCACCCATCTTTGCTTCAACTTGCTCCGGGTCCTGGAAACGGCCAAGGGGGAGACAATGTTGGTCAATGAGACAATGACGAGGTGAATTTTAAAAAACAACTCGTGCCCCGAACTGTTGACGCCGTCAAAATTTATTTGTCGATTGCTTGGGGATATGTAAGCATTTGTCCAGTAATGTGCAACGCCATGTGTCATAAACCCGGTTGTTTCAAACCAGATCTAATCTTGTATGTTACATGTATTAGTAACCATCATCTGAAAACAAGGAAAGCAAACTGCAAATCGTGGTCATCAATCCAAAAAACTCATCCGATGTTTTTTTTGGCTCAACCCTTTCATGTCAAACCGAAACACCATGGCAAAAAAACGGGCATAGTTTCGAAATAGAAGAGAAGAAGAGCAGAACAGAAGAGGAGGCGAAAGGAAGGAAGTGGGGCGCGCCCTCCCTATATTCGGGCCCCCGAGAATGGTCGACGTTCCACATCAAGGAGCCTAGAAGAAAGACGCCTAGAGCAGGGCCACCTGCTCGGAGCATCCTTCCCTAAGGCTCGCTCGATGCTTCCTGTCGACCGGGCGCAATGAGAAAAAATATTTGGCAATTGACAATTGCAAGACTTGTTTTCTATGCCGGGCAAAAAGTGTTTTCTTTCTCTGGTTCCTTGTCTTCTGGGGATCCCCGGAGCGTGTGGCCCGCCACTCCAGGCATCCCCTGCTTGAGCACCTGCCGCTAAGATATAAACCCTTGATAAACCCTAGCAATTTGACCCGGCCGAGTATCATATGATACCCTACGGGGCTCGGAGCAAGAGAGCTAGTCGGCGCATTTGAGGGACGCACGGTGCAGGCGGCTGCACGGGCGCAGCAGGGAAGGAAACAGACGTGTTTCCATTCTCTGCGTGAGCATGCGGTTGCGCTCCTCGGCGTTAACAAAGTAGAAGAAGACGAAGGAGAATGACATTATGTAGCACAAGCGCACACACAGCGCTAAGAAGCAAATTGACAATAATGAGCGATAATAAAAAGAAGTTGTCGGCCCGAGCCTTGTTGGCACTTGGGTCAAATTTAGGCGTCGGTAAATTTCCGTCAATAAAGATGTCATTTGGTAATTTTCACGCCACCCTTGTGGCAATCATTCAGCTGTAATAGGTGGGGGCAACTAAGCAAACTTGGTGATGGTTACCTTGTGCCAGCCATAGGTGCCTTGTTGTGGTTGTGCACCAGTTTTTTTGGAATTTGAATTGGACATACTGTACATAACTGGTTCCGAAGCCCTCTGATGATCGATACAGAAAAAAGGGGCTTTTCAAAGGCCATGAAGTACAACTGAAGTACGATTGAATGGCCCGGGACTGATCTTTCTCCATAAGACCTGGATTCTCAGGGGTCTATGATAAGGCTCCACGTGAGCTAAATGACTGCATAACCACTTTCAGTCTCATCAAGAAGCTTCAGGAAACTGCGGGCCCCCAGTTGTATAGATTCCGGTTCTAGCAGCTTCTGATTGCTTTACCAGGTTTGCAGTACTGTCAACTTTAGGTGAAATTATATATCTATTTATTTGGACGTGTTTGAAAATGGTGTAAAACACGTAAAACTGCAATGTTCAAACTTCAAACCCCAGAATTGTCCATGAAATCATGAAATCTAGAGATTTTCCCAATTTTTATTGCATGTATGCAGTAGCAGAGCACAAACTCACAGCTTCAATCTGCCAGTGTTCTCCCTCCGTGCCTCTTGTCGCGTGTGGCTCTGGTCATCGTGATCTGGCCGTGCATCTTCCACGTCCTGCACGGAAACCGTGGAAACATGATTTCGTGCTTAAAAGACTATGGGTTTCCCCTGCTGTCCTGAAAAAAACGTCTGGCACATAAAGATTGTTTGCTGTTTCTGGTGGTCATAACTGCGGCAGTTTCTCATCAACGATGATTGCAATAAATGTGGCATATCACCCGCAGAAAGACCTATAGTACAAATGGGATCAGAAGTGAGATTCATGAAACGTCACCCGGGTTCGAATCCCCAAGAAGATATTCGATGTTGTTAGCCAGTTCGGGATCACAATTCTAAATACGGATGGAAACTGCAACAACTGAAGCGCACATACAAATTGAAGTGATTGCGATATGCTCGCTTGCTTGAAACAAATCATGACAACACCTCTGAGTCAGTGTTGGAGCTCTGAACCGCCTTGTTTGATTCAACAGCCTGAATTCAAGGAACACCTGAACTGAAAAAACTTTGTGTTTTTAACCTCAAAAGAGTTTTCTACAAACTTTCCCATCATTCAGTGCATTCAGTGCTGGGGTCCAATCATTAAAACGCACTTCATGGTTTTCTTGCTTAGATCCGCTTCTCCGGTGGGATGGCTCGTCGCTTGCCTCGCACAGCAGCTCCCCATCTGCTGCATGAAGCGTCTCAACCTGCAATCAATTCGACAGAACAACATCAACATCGCAAAACCACATCACAACATCGCCTCAAACATCCGGCTGAAATACACACTTACTAGCCTGAAACCAACCTTGAGGAAGTTTGGGGAGATATTAGGGAGGTTTCCAGACCCACCTGCTGTGCTTTGCTGGGCGTTTCATCAGGGACGGGAGCCGTCATCGACCTCGGATGCCGCACGGATCAATCGTGACCTCTTGACCTCTTGACTTCGTTGAGGGTCCATTTTTTAATGGCAAATGCAGTATATCAAACATACATAAATATAATATATATATACGTATATGTATATATGTATATATTTACTTGTTTGTTGATATATTTAAATATGTATATATATATATATATATATCTACTATAGTACATATTATATGTATCTGTATAACTTGTTTGTGGTTGAGTTGAACCACTTAAATCAACCCCCATGTATCAACCAGAGTTTGTCAGTCCCCTGTTCAGCATGACACATCTTATGCCAATTTTATTTTTAATTGAGCCGCAGCTCAGCCCCTCAAACTGCCCCTCCAAACCCGAATTTCTACGAAAATTACTGGTTTCGATCTACTAGAAACACTTCAAATTGTGATCCAAAGTCACACAAACATGTATTCGCAAGGATGTTGTAGGGGTATGTGATCCGATTCGGCAGCAACACACAAATGCAAATGCTTGGCTAGCAAATGGATGTGAGTCCATGCGTTTCAAGACATCCTGACCTATGAAGTTCTATTACCCGCATGTTAGGCAAATATATTTTGGAATTGCAATCATGAACCATTGAAGGCGTTCCCCTCACCATCAGAGTTCACCCTTGGGTGAGTCTGAAAACGGGCAATACCCTCAGTTATGGTCGGGACCATGATATTTGATATAGATGTGGAAAATCCATGACAACCCATGGTTTCCGCTGGAAGTTGATCTGCAATTGGTGGGTTTTTCCACATCTGATGTTAGTTTACCTGAAAAGGTAAACGAAGGATGACGGGGCCACACCACATCCGCTGCCCAGTCGCTGCATGGCATCCACCGTGTCCGCATCCGCGTGCGTTGCGTCTGGCTCCGAGGGAACGTCCTCCCGGCAGTGAAGGTAACAAGTACATGGCCTCAGTTCATCAACATTTTTAAGAATAACGGTAGATAGGTAGGATAGGTAGATGGGAAGATACGAGTACATATAAATATATACATATAACGAATTCCCCAAACAGTGTGCCGAGGATGCTGCATCTGGGTTCGTGCATTTTCCCTGTAAATTTCCCCCCAAAAAAACGGCTCTTGTGAAACGTCCAAGTGCATTTCGACTGCGCAGGCTCGCACAAAGTGTAGGTCGCGGTTCTGGTCCGCGGCATTTCACCTGTAAATTATGGCACAAATGGTTCTTGTGAAATCTCCAAATGCATTTCGACTGCGCGGGCTCGCACAAAGTCTGGTCCCCGGTTCTGGGCTCTGGCATTCTTCCTGTAAATTTGAGCATAATGCCTCTTGCGCAACGTCCAAGTGCATTTCGACTGCACAGGCTCGCACAACTTGTGCACCCCGATCTTGGCCCACAGCATTCTATCTGTAAATCTGGCACCAAGTGGCCCCGTGAAATGTCCAAGTCCATTTCGACTGCGCAGGCTCGCGCAAAGCGTGGCTCCCGGTCTTGGGATCGGTCCTCCTCCTCCTCAACATCATCACTCTCAACATCATCATCTTCCTCCTCCTCACCATCATCATTCTCAACATCATCATCTTCCTCACCCTTGACCTCATCATCATCTTTTCCACAACATCAACATTATCACTCTTTTTATCCTCCTCCTCAACATTATCATCCTCATCACCGTCACCGTCGCCGTCACCGTCCTCCTCCTCATCCTCATCATCATCACCACCATTATCATCATCATCATCGTCATCATCATCGTCATCATAGTCAACATCAAAATGATCATACATTATCCTCCTACTCTCCCACACTGTTTGGGGTCTTTTACCAGGATAATAGTCTATACTGTATTAGGATCAATCCAAAGCCAGCAATGGCTTGTCTCCATCAGAACTAAAGAACATAAATCTAACTTTCATAGTTGGTGAGGAAAGTCCATGGCTATGAAAGAGAAAAAGGCAGTTGTTAAATTGTCCATTTATGGTTTGCGTGTCTTCAAACAATCCCAAGGAAACTCGTCATTTGGACTAACTACACAACAGAGATGAAAACATCGGCATTTGCAACATCCGCCAACTTTCATCAGCCAACGCTGTGGTTTCACTTGTGCACACTTTCGTTACAATTATCATACCAACATACCTTTGACATATGGACAACAACGAGCAACCTAGATTCTGCATGCATTGGGACTATCTCGAAATCTTTCTCCTGCGAACAATCAGACCGAGATCCCATGACTCTCCCGATGCTGGACACCAACAAAGCCAGCTCTTATTATGCAAGGGGCTACCATCCAAGTCACAATCCCAGACTTATGATAGAGTTTTCACCGGAAGCAATGTAATACTGTAAATGCAACTTTTTTCTTTTGGATCTGGCATTCTGGTATGTACTGGTCCCATACCCTCCACCATCAATCCCAGACCCCATGTAGTTACCGCTAGTTCTACATGCCATTCTCTTACTATATTTACCCTCCAGTAATTTAACATAGCTTCGGAACATTGCTCATTTAGTTCAATGTTTTTAGCTGATATATAATATAGTTATTTAATGTATCTTATAAGGCTGCCAAAAGCAGAGATTTTACAGCGCCGAAACCAGGGTGGTGTACCTTAAATCACCAGGCCTGCGCTGTCGGAGCTGCTTGGTTCTGCTCAACTGTCTCACTGACCTGACCACAGTTTGATGATGGTCTGGTGTCACTTCGAAGGTGGCCCCGTGATAAGTTATCTTCCCCTAGGAAAATAGCAGATTCATGGATAAAAAATAAAAAAAGAAATGATACAATGGGATATATAATATATTAATATAATGAATGGTTGTTGATTGAGATACTCTCTGGGATTTAAACACTTTGCAAGCTGGACAAACGTAGCTATAGATTCACTGTAGATATGCCATTTTCCTTGGCTATGTTTTGTTGCCAGATGGTAGACAACACAGAAAAGTGCACGATTGTGCTTGATGGTTTCAACTCACACCCAGCCATATCAATCGGAGATATTCACACACAATAGGAAGGGAACATAGAGAGACCTGCAAAGAAAAACTTCCAAGCAGCTTCTTCAAGATTGATAATTTCATGGAAAACACCTGGCGCCACGTGAACAAAACAATACCAGGGGCAAACACACTCGAAGAGACTAATAGTTCCTATAGTTCCTATAGTTCCTGGAACCGCGGGCTTTGAACCATGGTATTTTGATGGTATAGTATTTTGATGGTGATGTAATCCAAATCGTTTATCTGACACTTTGCCCTGCGTTTTAGCAGCGCCTGCATGTCTTCCTGGGCTGGGTCGGCCGGGTCGCAAGGCGCTTCCTCTGCCTGAGATGTGCTCGCAGCTGTAGGACGCTAGGATTGAACTATTGGTACCATCTGGTAAACTAACATAGCTATTGATCATGGTGATTTATAGCTGATTTACACATTGAACATGGTGATTTTCTGTAGCTATGCAGCTATGTTAGTTTACCAATGGGGAAGTATGAAACATTGTATATAATGGGACAAGAAAGGGATACATCATCTACAAACTGGTGATTTAACAGCCACCCACAGTATTTCACAAAGCGCAAAGACTCAATAGTGACACTACTTTGGATGACACTTTGTTCTACATAAACAGACACTACTTTTGATGTCAATTCACGTCAGTTAATTGATGCAGCCACAACATCCCAAATACAAGGGTGGTGTAACTATAAAAGGTTGGAACAATCCTGAAGATTATTGGCTACCCAAATATTTGTATCCCAGCACTTCTTCTCCAATTAACATTCCATAAAATAGCCGTTAAATAGCAGTTACCGTCCGGTATTCAAACGTAGCAATGAAAAATGCCCCATTGACACCATTGATACTGTTTTTTTTTCCTCAGCTACAAGCTTCCATTTACTGTGGATTTTCCCACTTAACCATGTTTGATTACCAGAAGAAACCCATGATATCCATCCCTGATGTCTGTTGATGGTTAAACACTATGCAAAAACACCCAGTCAATCCCATTACCCTCTGCTAAACTAACATAGCTTTGGGGTACCACCATTTTTAATAGGTAAAGAAACTATAAATTTCAATTTCCAATAGCTATGTTTGTTGATTGTTAAACACTATTAAAAAAAAAACAATTCAATCCCATTAAGTCCGATGAAATCCCCTGGTTGGGTGCACATCCCTGCATTGCTGTCCTGCCTCCGGACCTTGGACCTGGATTTCTGCCATCTGGGGCACCTGTCAGGCCGTTGACGCCAAACGAGAGCGCTATTCTCGTACTATCAACCCAGCACCCTCCAACTTCTGAGAAAAATGAAATCCTTACCCATGAATTCGGGACGTTTGCCCATTTTCATGGGTGCTTGGAGGGTCTAAGTACACAATCGATCGTTTCTCAGAGGTGAAGAATGACATGTTCTAGTCATATATGCCAATGGTCCCATGGACTTTTCAATGAGTTGGAAGTATTTGCTACTTTTTGCCCTCCACAGAATTCGTTGCAACTCGATCATCTTCCATGGATGCCACCAAGGCTTACCGTCATGTCCAAGCCTTGGGAATGTGCGAAAACTGGGGGATGGTCTGATACTTACCAAAATCAGCCAAATGGTAATCAAATGTAGCAATGACAAGGCACCATTGATACTGTTTTTTTCTCAGCTACAAGCTTCCATTTACTGTGGATTTTCCCACTTAACCATGTTTGATTACCAGAAGAAACCCATGATATCCATCTCTGATGTCTGTTGATGGTTAAACACTATGCAAAAACACCCATTCAATCCCATTACCCTCTGCTAAACTAACATAGCTATGGGAAACCACCATTTTTAAAAGGTAAATAAACTATAAATGGCAATTTCCAATAGCTATGTTTGTTGATTGTTAAACACTATGAAAAAAACAATTCAATCCCATTAAGTCCGATGAAATCCCCTGGTTGGGTGCACATCCCTGCATTGCTGTCCTGCCTCCGGACCTTGGACCTGGATTTCTGCCATCTGGGGCACCTGTCCATTGACCCAAGCCAAATGGGCGTGTCATTCTTGTAGTCATCTGTATACCAACCCAGCTAGACCCTCCAACTTCCGGGAAAAATGAAATACTCACCCATGAATTCGGGACGTTTGCCCATTTTCATGGGTGCTTGGAGGGTCTAAGTACACAATCGATCGTTTCTTAGAGGTGAAGAATGACATGTTCTAGTCATATATGCCAATGGTCCCATGGACTTTTCAATGAGTTGGAAGTATTTGCTACTTTTTGCCCTCCACAGAATTCGTGGCAACTCGATCATCTTCCATGGATGCCACCAAGGCTTACCGTCATGTCCAAGCCTTGGGAATGTGCCAAAACTGGGGGATGGTCTGATACTCACCAAAATCAGCCAAATGGTAATCAAATGTAGCAATGACAAGACACCATTGATACTGTTTTTTTCCCCACCTGCCAGGTGAGGGTTGTTAGATTTTATGTCAGTTGCCTGCTCCTCCTCTCCTCTCCTCTCCTCCTCATCTCCTCTCCTCCTCCTCCTCGTCGTCCTCCTCGTCCTCCTCGTCCAACTGCGACCCGCGATCCACAGTGTTCTCTGTCGGACCTCAACCACGACCATCCATGCTCAGTGTTCCCTGCCGGACCTCAACCGCGAGTATCCATGCCAAGTGTTCCCTGCCGGACCTCAACCATGACCATCCACGCCCAGTGTTCCCTGCCGGACCTCAACCACGAGCATCCACGCCCAGTGTTCCCTGCCGGACCTCAACCACGACCATCCACGCCCAGTGTTCCCTGCCGGACCTCAACCGCGAGTATCCACGCCAAAAGATATGCCACATAGAGTGCCAGAAGATATGCCAGATAGAATGTTAGAAGATGTGCCAGATAGAATGCCAGAAGGTATGCCAGATAGAATGCCAGATAGAATGTCAGCTAGAATGCCAGAAGATATGCCAGATAAAGTGCCAGAATGTTTGCCAGATAGAATGCCAGCAGATTTGCCAGATAATATGCCAGAAGATATGCTAGATAGAATGCCAGATGGAATGCCGCAATGCCAGAAGATTTGCCAGATAATATGCCAGAAGATATGCCAGATAGAATGCCAGATGGAATGCCAGAAGATATGCCAGAACATATGCCAGAAGATATGCCAGAAGATATGCCAGAAGATATGCCAGAACATCTGCCAGAAGATATGACAGAACATCTGCCAGAAGATATGCCAGGTAGAATGCCAGAAGATATGCCAGATAGAATGCCAGATCGAATGCCAGAAAATATGTCAGATAGAATGCCAGAAGATTTGCCAGTAACAAAATGTATAAATGTCATGGTGGGGATCACACGAAGTAAAGCAATTTCTCAGCTACAAGCTTCCATTTACTGTGGATTTTCCCACTTAACCATGTTTGATTACCAGAAGAAACTTCTATTGTATCTCCATTCAATCCCATGATATCCATCCCTGATGTCTGTTGATGGTTAAACACTATGCAAAACCACCCATTCAATCCCATTACCCTCTGCTAAACTAACATAGCTATGGGAAACCACCATTTTTAATAGGTAAATAAACTATACATGGCATTTTCCAATAGCTATGTTTGTTGATTGTTAAACACTATGAAAAATAAAATTACTTTACTTCGAGTGATCCCCACCATGACATTCATCGATTTGTTACTGGCAAATCTTCTGGCATTCTATCTGACATATCTTCTGGCATTTGATCCGGCATTCTATCTGGCATATCTTCTGGCATATATTCTGGTATATCTTCTGGCATGTCTTCTGGCGTTCTATCTGGCATATCTTCTGGCATATCTTCTGGCATTCTATCTGGCATATCTTCTGGCATAGTGTCTGGCAAATCTTCTGGGATTCTATCTGGCATATCTTGTGGCAGTCTATCTGACATTTTATCTGGCATTCTATTTGGCATACCTTCTCGCATTCTATCTGGTATATCTTCTGGCATTCTATCTGGCATATCTTCTGGCATTCTATTTGGCATATCTCATGGAATTTTATCTGGCATATCTTCTGGCATTCCATCTGACATTCTATCTGCCATATCTTCTGGCATTCTATCTGCCCGTTGAGGTCCAGCAGTGCACACTGAGCTGGGGAGGTCCCCGGTTGAGGTCCAGCGGTGCACACTGCGCTGGGCAAATCCCAGGTTGAGGTCCAGCGGTGCACACTGAGCTGAGACGGTCCCTGGTTGAGGTCCAGCGGTGCACACTGAGCTTGAGGTCCAGCGGTGCAAACTGAGCTGGGCAGGTCCCAGGTTGAGGTCCCAGTGCACACTGAGCTGGGAAGTTGGCAAAGAGCTTGGAGAAGAGAGTTGGCAAAGAGCTTGGCGAAGAGTTGGCAAGGCGGAAGTGGAGGTGGAAGTTGATGCAGACATGGCCGAGGAGAAACTAGAGGGGGAGGAGGAGGAGGACGAGGAGGAGGAGGAGGAGGGGGACAGCTAGCCGAGGAGGAGGAGGAGGAGGAGAACAGCTCTGATAAAATCTAACAACCCTCACCTGGCAGGTGGGGAACAATTCAATCCCATTAAGTCCGATGAAATCCCCTGGTTGGGTGCACATCCCTGCATTGCTGTCCTGCCTCCGGACCTTGGACCTGGATTTCTGCCATCTGGGGCACCTGTCAGGCCGTTGACGCCAAACGAGAGCGCTATTCTCGTACTATCAACCCAGCACCCTCCAACTTCTGAGAAAAATGAAATCCTTACCCATGAATTCGGGACGTTTGCCTATTTTCATGGGTGCTTGGTTCTTAGAGGTGAAGAATGACATGTTTGAGCCATATATGCCAATGGTCCCATGAACAGTGAGTTGGAAGTATTTGGTACGTGACGTGGAGCCTCCTTAGGCGCTGCTGGGACTGGTGCAACTTCGGCCAGATCCATCAGTGGGTCCTGGAAATGCCACGCGATGCGACTGGGGGCACCAGCTCTCCCAAAAAATGACCGAAAAATGACGTTTGGCATGTACAAACAAAGCCCGAAATATATAATACCACGTATACTTGTATGGTTATTCTTATGGGGTTATCATGAACCATTTTTTGGGGATGACCTAATTACTTTTAACTGGCATATCGGGCCATAACTGTGAGACCTTCAAAGATAGAAGGCTATTTCTCCGAGTTGCACACGATTCAGTCGCGTTCAAAACCCTCTGTCATTCCGTTGGTTGGTCATAGGCATGTTCATGGATAAATCAACCAATAGATTGGGTAATGCTAGTAAAGCAACAGGAAGCACCATGCTTCATGGATGGTCTAAACCATCAAAACGTTGAATCCTCCATGGCGGAAACGACCCATATGGGTAGCTTTTCTGCACGGATCTCCTCTTTCAGCAATTCCCCGAAGATCAGGTCGAGAAAGTAGAGCCGCTTCTGGGCATGATGTTTGTTGGTTAACAAAGAATCTAATGAATACTATACTTGTATCATAAACCCGATCGTTGTTGGAGTTATTTCATGTCATTTCAAACAACTTAACTATCGATTGGGGGCCCGGCATTGTAGGTATATATGTGGTTTGAATCTAAACATTGCATAGCAAGTCCTGCGACCTGATAACCTATTTGCGATATGAGCTCTGGCTGATCCATTCCATGTGTTGCCCCCCAAGTACCGGAAGTCTTGGTTGACAATTCTAAGATATTCGAAGTATGTACTGGCCACAAACCTACACCGTGTAGTTATTGTAGGTGTAATTCAACTTACCTTAGGGGCCCAGTAGGTCTGAAATCAATCATGTAAAGCTAAGGCTTGGGATATGTCTACCCATCATAGCCCTAATTTTGCTAAAGTGCCGTAATATCCTAAATCTTCCCGGAAGCAAAGGAACCTCCTCAAAAACAAAGTGCAGTAGGGCGCTATCCATGTGAAATGGTTTGCTTTCTGTCGGGCCAAGGTCTTGCCACGCGATACCACAGCCATCGAAAACCCGTCACACCAAGTTTCAGGAGTCTTTGCATTGCCAAGGGTGAAGACGCAGAGGTTTTCAGACAACCTGAAAAAGGCTGGGATGCAAGTGAAAACTTATCCCTGAAGAGGTTGTCATGAAAGCTGACAGTATTCCCAATAGCCATTATTTACCGTTATTATTATTATTTTAACCATTGAATTAACCATTATATCAACCGTTAAATGACCCATTATATTAACCAAAATACTAACCATAATTACATTAACCTTTACTCAGTATTACATTGACCAGTCTATTAACCGCTATTGCATGTACCACTATATGAACATGATTTAAGAAAATATACAATATATATATATATAATTAAAAAAATGACCATGATTAAAACATGATTATATAACCATTGCTGAGATGTTTAGACTTCAAGTCCGCTGTGTTTTTAGTTGAGGACACTGACGCTGACGCGGCAAGTCAGTGTCACCCGAAGTTTGCGAACTGTCTCTTAATTTATCCCATTCACGTCCCCGTAAAATGAATGGTCAGCTGAAAAAACCAAGCATGGTCCAAACCACATTGTCTTTATTGATCATTGGATTGGCTAAAGGAAAATCTACAGGAAACCCATGGATTATGTCGCCAAATCTAGGCCTTTCCTGTAGATTTTCACACCATTTCTTGTAAGGAACATTGACCTCCATTCTTGTTGGTTAAATCCCATTAAATAGTTGGATGGCAATTTACCCGGTAATAGTTGGTTAAATGGTTCATTGTTGGTGAAACATCTTGGTTAAATCACTTTAAATTGGTGAAATCCCAATAAATCGGGGAACCTCCGAGGTAAGGAATACACAATACATTTAATATATATATATATATATATTGGAACCCTTAATTAAATACCTTATACATTCTGGGAAGGAATAGATCACCATCAACTGGGGGGTAAATATGTCCCGTCCATTGCGGCACACCGTGGCGCAGTTGTCGGTTTGGGGCGACGCACTTGAGACGCCCTTCACCACCTTGAGTGAGTCGGCCTCAACGCGACGCGAGGCGGCACCCGGAGACTCCGGACATACGCCACTGAAGTACATGGATACCCTCTGGTAAACTAACATAACTATTGAAAATCACCATTTTTCATGGGTAAATCAACTATAAATCGCCATTTTCAATAGCTATGTTTGTTTACCAGAGGGTATATACCGTATAACCATATGATTAAAAACACCATAGTAATGAAATGAAATTAATATCATAAACCATGTAGTTGCTGGAGTTAAATGACAGCATATGAAATTTGAATTGAAACCCCAAGTACTTCCTCAGAAGGTATGGCTGGATCCAGAAGGATTCTTGTAATTCATTTTTTTGGTTAATTAACATAGCTACGGAAACCATGGCACATAGAAATAATGTATAAACATAATTCCTATCAAAAAATGTGATCTTCCATAGCAAACCGTCAAATTATCAGAGGGTATCCATCTTGATTCTTTTTGTTCACATGGTATCACCGCAGGTGCTATTTTCAAGGGACAAAATCCCTGGCAAAAACAACTCCTTAAGAATGTGATAAACCCATTTCAATGCGCATGGATGAAGAATCGCTGCTGAAGTTACTGTTAGATCATCAATTTGGGTGATTATGGTTGGCAATTTGGTGACCGATCTCGGCAAATTGAATGTTAGTTTGCCCCATTCTCAAGTGAGAATCTGCAACAAGCAAAACATGATATGAATCCTTTACAGTAACCAACTTTATGATTGGCAAATTGGCATCTGGCTGGAAAACCAATGATTCGTTTCCAAGGTATATGACCAATTCAGGTATCCAGGGTACCGAAAGTTGTAATCCAGTTATAACGTATAGTAACACCCAAAACAAATGCCGCAAGGTCTTTCCAAGATGGTAGTTCGATGATGTTATCTCATATTTCTAAGGTTTTCATTTTTTCTATTATGGACAATTTGTTATATATATTCCATGATATATCATTATCCCATTCATTTTCCTTCAAAATCCATACCTTGCCTTGTTGTAGTTTAATCCTATATAAATACATTTAAGTCCCATAAACCAATATAAGTCGTTTATTTTTCTGCGTCAACTGTATACAAAGTATATAAATCACGCACAATCGCAAATAAGTCTGTACAATGGTGGTGCCCCCCTAGTTATGTTTATTGTTTTATAAAACCCAGTAACTAGTTCGATATATCACCAACCAAAACCATAGTGAAATTGGAGTTACTTCAACCAACTTAGCTATCGACTGGGAGCACCACCTTGTATGAATACCTTGAGAATGCTACAGATACCTCCACTCCATTGTGCCCGAGGCGCTGGTCCGCTCGTCTTTGCTCAACCTGTACAACCTGGACGACGCCGTCCCAGGTGCAGAAATTGGACAATTCCGTTCGAAAAAAACATGATGTATGTAGATATTGTATGTATTTTTTGATAATAAAACAGTTTTCCAAGATATTCACCATTGTATATATATATTTTTTTTTTCTTTTAGATGCATCTTATGTATGTATAGTTATGCCTATATATTTCTAGAGAGTATTGAATTCTCTGTGATGTATTATATATTTTTGCCTTGGATACCTACACACACATACACACACACGTACATACATACATACAATACATACAATACATACAAAACATACACTACATACAATACATACACTACATACAATACATACAATACATACAATACATACAATACATACAAAACATACAATACATACAATACATACAATACATACAATGCAAACAATACATTACAATACATTACATTACATAACATTACATTAAATACATATATACATTCATTACATACATACAAAACATTACATTACATTATTTACATTACATTACATTACACTACATTACATTGCATTACATTACATACGTATGTACATACATACATACATACATACCTACATACATACATACCTACCTACCTACATACATACATACATAAATTACACTACATCACATTACATACATACATACTTACTTTACTTTACATTACATTACACTGCATTACATAAATACATACATACATTACATTACATTACACTACATTGCATTACATTACATTACATCACACACATTACATTACAGTACATTTCGTTACATTATATTACATTACATTTCACTACATACATACATCACATACATGCATACATACATACACACATACACACATACATACATACACAACATGACAGAACATAACTTAACATAGCAAACCATACATACTGGCAAAACATAGCACAACATAACAGAACATACATACACACATGATACATACATACATACATGCATACATACATACAAACATACATACATACATACAAACATACATACATACAAACATACATACATACATACAATACATACAGTACATGCAATGCATACAATACAATACATTACAAAACATTACATTACATAACATTACATTACATGCATACAATACATTACATTACATTATATACACATCATTACATTACATCACATTACATTACATTACATTTTGTTACATTACCTTACATCACATTACATTACGTTACATTTTGTTACATTACATTACATTACATTACATTACATACGTATGTACATACAGACATACATACATACATATATACATACATACAATACATACATACAATACATACAGTACATACAATGCATACAATACAAAACATCACATTACATTACATTACATACGTACATACATACATACATACATCCATGCATACATACATACATACATGCATACATACATACATACATCATACAACATACATACATTACATACATCCATCCATGCATACATACATGCATACACAGAGATACATACATACATACATACATACATACATTCATACACATACATACATACATACATACATAAATACATATATACCTACATGCATACATACATACATGCATCGATGCATGCATGCATGCATGCATACATACATACACACATACAAATATACATAAGATAACAGTCCTTTACATAACGTAACATAACAAAACAAAACATACATACTGACATAACATAACATAACATACAATAACAAAACACAACACATAACATAACATAACATACATACACACAAACATACATTACACTACATCACATTACATTGTGTTACATTACCTTGCATTAATGCATAACATAACAACACAACACAACATTACATTACATTACATTATAAACATTACATTACATTACATTACATTGCATTACATTACATTACATTACATACGTATATACATAGGTTTCGTTACATTACGTTACTTTACTTTACATTGCATAACATATAATTACATTACATTACATAAATTACATACATTGCACACATTACATTACATTACATTACATTACAGTACATTACATTACATACGTATATACATAGGTTTCGTTACATTACGTTACTTTACTTTATATTGCACTACATTACATTACACTACATTACATTACATAGATTACATACATTGCATACATTACATACATTACATACATTACATGCATTACATACATTACATACATACACTACATACACTACATATAATTACGTAATACATTACATTACAGTACAGTACATTACATCATATACATTACATATTTAGAAAAGGTATTTTACCTGGGTTTGTTTCATACAGAACTGAGGCTTCCCTAAAATAGTGCTACCCCAAATCATCCAAGTCATGAGACTCATTAAACCATTTTTAGTATATTGAAACAACCATGATGACTTGGGGACCCCACATTTTCAGAATCTTCTACATGTACAAAATATATATATATATATATTTATATATATATATATATCATACCCCAATCATCATTTAGGAATTTAGGAAACCCCCAGCTGCCTTCTCTGAGCAGCCCGACAGATCGATGACCTCATCTTTCTTTTGTCCCTGGGGCCTGGGTGCTGGCTCGCACCAGCGAGTTGATGAAGTTCCGGAGAGAACTTGGCAAACATGGTGATGTCATGTGATTTCAATGGGATTTTCATGGGATTTCAATGGGATTTAGTATATTTACATATTCGTAATTTAATGAGATGTAATGGGAAATGAATGGGTTTTTTAATAGGAACTTGATGGGGTTTACCCTCTGGTAATAGCTGTAATAAAAAGTGGCTAGCTGGAAAATCCCCGCGCTTAATGGAGGTTCTAGCTGGGAAAATCATCGAACTGAATGGTAGATGTTCCATTGCCACGTTTCAGTACTGGAGGGTATCAATCAAGTGGAAATCAGAATTCCAAGAAAGTTTGAACAATTAAACAAAAAATGTGTTACATCACATGTGGATAGATGTAGTTGTTGGGTGTCCTCTGTAAATAGCCATGTTCAATGGGGTTAGCCAATCTATACCCACCCCAAAAACTGAAGTTCAACCTTTGAAACATCGGAAAAAAAGGGCCACTGCATCATATCTCTTATGTTTTCCAGTCAACCAGGGTGAAGAGGCAACTGCTCCAGGGGTCCAGCGGCAATGCTCATCCCAGCTGATTCCATATATAGATTTTACCATTTAAACAGAATTCAGACTGATTCTGATTCTACCATTTCCAGCTCATCCAGAATTGACATGCATCGTGTCAAAAGACCATTGCTCTCGCAGCTTGTGGTGCCCCAACAAGCTCTGACACTCCAGCTGCAACTTCTCCAGAAGGGCTGGATAACACGCTACTGCCTCAGTTTTCTGAGGATGCAGAAGGCATAAGTGTGAACCACTGAGTTAACTGTGAACCTTTGGGAACGACAAACGACATCTGTGTACGTACTCCAATTATGCACGAAACCATCGAAATTAGAAGGGTCTTTTGGGTCTGCTCGGTAGGTACAATATGGTACACTATGACACGATATGCATATAATCAGCCATAAAGCACCCTAAACCCACCCTAATCAGCCATAACTAACCCTTAAAATCAATAGACCTAAAACAACTGTGGAAAATCTTAAGACAGCCTAAATACGACAACATATTAATTTAAAAAAACCCTAAACATCCCTAAATAAAATAAACCCAAAACCAACCCGAAAATTGTAACCAACCCTAAACCCTAAACCCTTCAATGAACCTTAAATAGCTCCTAAGCTATCTGCAAAGCAACTAACCCGCCAAGGATCTCTTGGGCTCCCCAACGGATTGCACACTGATTCCTGAAATTGGCTGCAAGCTCCAGCCCTGGCAAAGTGGGTGGGGTTCGAGAACTGGAAAAAAAAAGTGAACCGAAGAAAACAAGAAACTTATTCCATGGGCTTGGGATATGTTGTGTTATTGTGTAATTATATCCATAAATATCTATATATACCTGCAACATCCAACATGCAAAAAAAGCGTGGCCTTCCCAGACTCCAACTATTTTTGTCGGTTTGTTCAAAAAGTGCTGTTTGCAAAAAACAAAGATCGCCTTTTGTTTGTACCCAGCACCAATTGGCGCCCTTGTTGCGCCAATTTGCGCCGTTTTGTATGTGCTAGTGCGTGTTTTCCTGCTACCCTCTAGTAATTAGTCAAATCTGTGAATGAAACACTACGCACTCAGCCTACTTTGCTAACAAAGTAGACCCTAAAAGTGGCAATAGAACTAGAAAAAGTCACCACATAATGGATACATCACATTCTCCGATTTTTCCAGGTACTTGGAAGGTCTAGGAGAATCGTAAGTGCACAAGTGCCAGTGCCAAAGGACTGCCAGTTGCACGGGTCCGTGGCCCACAACACATGACCAGGAAGAAGCCTGACTTAGATGGGAAGCCTCGAGGTACTGAAACTGACATGGCCAATTCTACACTATAGATGTGTGTAACTTCAACAACTATATAGGGTTGTGTTAGTATATTAGTATATGGGAGTTCTATCTATAGCTAGTGAGGGGTATACGCCAATGTAGGGAAAATCATCAAGGTTTGCCTACCTGCAAGCCTGCAGAATTCTGCCGTAAAGTGGTGCCCACATAGTCAACTAACATGGTTTATAACTAGGTTAAGCAGGTTATCTAGCATTCATGGTGGTAAAAAACTCCGAATAACTTTGAGATTGCAAGTATATATAAATATATAATTAGAATCTATTGCAATGAGTTAATCAACCAACAAACACACCTTCTGGCTATTTAACATAGCATCGAAGCTATGGCCCAGAGAAATAGATGACAAAAATGATGATTTACCTGTTACAATGTGCCACCCAGTTTACAATGCGCTCCCCAGGTTATAAGTTTGTTTATAGAGTTTTATAAACCCAACTAAACATAGCTAGAAGTATCCTAAACCAAAATAGTTACATGTCGAACCAGTTATGAGTACTAGCAAGTCACCCCATAGAAATAGAATGTATAATCTCAGCAACCGTTTATAGCCAATAGCTATGGCCATAACTGTATTGGAGTTCAACCAACTTCGCGATTTCTTAGCCCCAACACCATCTGCCTTGAGCTCGTGGTGGCCCAGCTTCAAGTGTTCACCCTGCACTCCAGGGCCAGGTGGTAGAACCACATCGCAATCTGGGAGCGGGGCTGGAGCCGTCAAGTGAGCTAAAATGGATACAACACATGCACAAGAATGTGTATAATTGTAAATATGTATTCAAATTATGTATATGTGTATATAATTGTATATATATATACATACACATACATACATTATATCATATACATACATGAATATTTAGACATGGATATAGTGACTTATAGTTACTATAGTGACTATAGTGAATGTTGCCGGAGAAAGTCATTGGTCAAATCCGCCGAGCTTGGAGGCACTTGCTGGGGCGGCGCCCAAGTCCCACTGCAAAAGAATGGATAGACATGGATACTAAGCGGTGAACGGCAAAGTGAACGTTCCAACAAGTCTGTTGTCCAATACAACCAATATCTCCCAGGAAAAGAACAAGTACGAAGTCTTGGATCCCTTGGATCCTTTGCATGTCGCCGCTGATTCTCAGCAACCCCCGAGCATTGGACGGCCGCCAGTGCCAAACGTCAACGCTTGCTTCACAATCCGTCCTCGGGGCTTCAGTGGGGGAAGAAAACTCGTGGATTGCGGACCCCACATTTACTTGGGGGTGCAGGCCAGAAGTTACTCTCATGGGAGAAACCCCTTAATTAAACAAATTGAACAAAAACTCTATAACTATGATTATAGATTATAGATCCACTTGTAGCTGAAACTGCACTTCCAAGTAATGACTTACAATAATGTTCCAAAACAAAAAACAATTGTGATGTATTTTTTATCCCGGTTTTGACAAGATCGTTCAGTATCGAATCATTCAGCCTCTATTCTCCCTTAAAACACGAACCATTTCACCAGTGGACCAGTCAACAATGTGACCTTTTTTTTCCTCCGAAAACACCGGTCACTTGCGGATCAACATGTGCATAAGTAAGAACGCTCATCAATACAAATGAGAAATTATCATCATTCATGTGGGTATGATTCCCCTTATTGACCATCATTCCAGTGACGTCGCAGTAAGGTCGTTATAATTTGTCAAGAGTAGCCATGTCTTCTCCATTTATATATATTCCCCCCAGTTGCTGATCATCTACGATAACTTTATGCGTCCCAAAAAATATGGGTCATGCCCCAAATCCAATAAGTAATCATCCCATTTCCCATGAACCATGGCAATTTTGGAATATTTTAAGGGTACCCACGGGTAATGAATGCAATTTCTAGATGATCTTCCCATTTAACAACTAGTGGTTTCCCAGCCAGCCACATTTGCCACAAGGTCATTCAATCTTCAATCATTCTACTCAAAATATTCCCAAGCATATTTCCATGAAATCTATGCCAACAACTCCCAGCCAATTAGCTTAGAGTCTATTATGCTAAAGATTGCTGGTTACGAAATAATATCATCAAATCCCCATTAAAAACACTAAATCCCCATGAAGATTGTTGGTCTTAGGGTCTTGTTCCCATCAAACCCCCATTCAATCGCCATTATTCGCTTCTCGACAGCCTTGCGGGACTGTCCACCGTCGCCACTTTTGTGGTGCACCAAGCATCTCTCCGGGAGTTCGCGAGCACCTGCCTTCTCAAAGACCCGGAGACGTATGCCGGACCTCGTGACTCGTTGTACGGGTGCTACGGTGGCTACGACTCGAAGAATCACACCCAATATTGGCAAGGTGAAATAATGCTTCATGGGATTCATTAGTGATCGTTTTGGTGATATATAACCTACTTGGGGGTGCAGGCCAGAGGCTACTTTCATGGCTACAACCATGGTTAATATCCATAAGTTGTGATATAAATTCAACGCCGGCTTTATATCCACCCAGTTCAAAGTAGGAAAAATAGAGGGCCCAGTTTGGCAAACTATCTCTTCTAATTTACCTATATTGATTGTTGAAGGGGGGATGCCGCCATTAGGGGGACGCTTAATCAACCAAACAATGGGAAAGAGATATCTATGGTTAACACAGTTTCTCTGGTACAGGTGACTGAACTAGAACTAAAAAAGTGATTCGGATGGTTATGTTGCAGGGGCAAAAATGTTGTTCCCATATCATTTCTCACATCTATGCGAGTTCTGAACTGATAAAGCACATCAACTGTTGCTCTATACAAAGTGAGCCCTGGTATATGGTTGGCTCATGACCACAATGAACTAGTTAACTAGTTCGAGATTCAAAACATAGAATTCACCGTTGACGTAAACGAAACCAAGTTATAGTCTATCAACGTGACCGTGACGTGACCAATGCACCGAGCAGCGGATATGGCGCCTTTGGCCGAGTAGGTGGCCGCATTTGCGCAGGTACCTGTGGAAGGTCGACCAGGGGGGCGAGGTTCGATGTCGCCGCTCCCGGCCAGTTATCTAAAAATTGGTTCGATTTCACCTAAGTTCCAGTACTCCTGGCCTGGGTATATGGGAACTAGATGACTTTTGGCAGGAAACTCCATGGATATTAAGGCATGGCTGTCCTCAGGATGCCACAACAGGGAAGCGCCATCCAATGGGTGGTTTCAGCCCCCGCGCGAAAGATGTGAGTATATTACCCTCCTGGTAAACTAACATAACTATGGAAAATCACCATTTTTAATGGGTAAATCAACTATAACTAGCCATTTTCAATAGCTATGTTTGTTTACCGGAGGGTATATTGGTTGATGGGGTTGAACATTACATGTCAACAAGTGAGACCACCAGAGAAGAGAATACAAGAAGCTGATCTTGTGGGGCACTTGAAGCATGTGAGGCATATGAGCAGCTTCTTGGATGCGCGGTACCTGATGGCTGGCAAGTGCTATCATCATGGACGACTTGGACCATGTGATGACCAACTTTGGGACAAAACAAACTATAGACCCACAGTGTCCATAGGCATGCAGTTACATGGGCAGGTGTTTGCCATTGTTGCCTTTAGTTTTCCGGCATCTTGAGAAAAATCATGCATGTTGACGAGATCAATTGCATCACATTGATGGTCCGTCCACTGTTCACATCTCGTAGTTCTGGCCTGAAAAACACAGAATATATATATGCCTCTACCTTGACCTTTTCTGCCGCGGTCTGATTTTTTTCTGCCGCGCCCTATTCCCATGTCACTGTAACTTCTTCAGCTGTTGCATGTACAAATGCAGATATTTCTGCATCGTGCGTGTTGAGCCGAAAAAAGGGGTGACAAGATCGATCTTCTGAGTCTTGAGACGACCTATTGTGGTCCTTGTCTGCCAATCTTCAAGAATATCAGCTATAATGGCAAACTTCAGAATCTTCAGAAGAGTTCATCTTGAGCACGCATCAAATACGATGGCAATTTCGCATTGAATTTTGCGGTTTGGCAACAACCTTTAAGGTTCTTCAAGGCAGAAATCTACATTTGCGCTTTTTTGCGGGGGTTCGGCCGTGTTTGCAGGGTTTTGTGCCTTGTTTGCGTGAATGTTTCGGTCCTGAATGTATCATCTTGTTATGTAAACCCGTCGATTGGAGTGAAGGGAGAAGAACTCAAGCAAATTCGCACTAAACTCCAAAAAATTGGGTGCAACTGCACTGAGCAAAGGGTCGCGCTTCCACGAAAAAATGGGAGGGATTTCACCTCAACTAGTGGTGACGACACAATCAAGACATTGTTTTCAAGTCACCTCGCTCGGATGGGGGCATTTCGACCCCTGATTTTGTGGACATTCCCATGGAAATACGATTCACAAACATTGCGGACATGATTTTGCAACTTTACACCACTTCTGCCCCGCTCTTTCTGCCTTGTTTGGCAGATTTTGGCTCGTTTTGCCGAAAGAGGGTCACAAAGCAAAAAGTCCCAAATATTTGGGAATGCAGAAGGTCCAGCTGATTTTTATATAAGAAATACATTTGTTGAAAAACATATCAATACTGCAATATATATATATAATGCAAAAAACAATACATGAATTAAACAATAATATCAAAATATATTGTATAATGTGTAATATATAGATATATATATATAAATCATATAATATCAATGAAACATGTGTAAGTATATATGGTATATATATATAATCATATATTAATGGTGTATAATATATATATATATATACACATATAAATATATATATATGTTTGTATGTAGCAGAAAGCCAAACTAAAAAAACAATACTAGTTCAGTTCAATAAGCATTTTCTGGTTTTCGGACTTGGTAAGTCTTGAACAACCTGACCCAGTTAGTCCCTGTTTTCCATTGCTCTCAGCCTCCTCCAGCTTCCGTCTTTCCTCCTCTTCGACCTTTTCACCTTGAGAAGCCTGCGAAATCCCGCCCTTTGGATGCCGGATGGGTATCCAAAAATGGTGGATGCCCATTTTAGTACCATTTCAATGGGAAACACGATGATCATTCACTGGAACTGGGGATGTCACCCTAGAAATAGTCTCAAACAAACCCACATATCAATAATATTTTGACTTGTAAACAAAAACATTCAAGCATATTCAAGAAAGTTAGTAAAGTTAGGCATTCCATTTGCTAGCATACCCCTCAATCAATTCAAGCAACCCACTGGCGAGGAAAAAAAGGGTGAGAAAATCCAAATCCCCAAATTACAAAATACCTGAAGTAAAGAAAGTACAAATGATTCACTAAGCGATTTGGGGATGCTTATTAATTAGTAAAATTAGCCATTGCTTCAGTGACATCACAGGTGAGGTATCAAGCTTGTATCCCATTATATCCCTTTAAATCGCAATTTTCCTTAGTTAAATCACCATGTTTGAGGGTCAAATCACCAATGTAAAATCAGTCGGGAACTTATAGAATGCATCGTGGAAGCACTTCTGCCTGCTGCACCTGCCATCCCCATGATATACCTTTTCTGTGATCGTAACTTAATGTGTCATGCCTTGTGCAACCAGAAGTTGGGGTCGTTCCATTGTCCACATTCACATCCAAAGCCGTGAAACCACAAAATTATGGCACATCATAAATCCAACAAACAAACCTGAAATAAACAAAATAAAGCAGAAATATCTGTGAGGTCAGGGTTTGGTCGCCATAATTTTCCCAGATCTCAGAAGACTCACCTCCTCTTGCATTCTCCGTTTCTCTTCTGCTTGGGCTTTCTCACGTTGACGCGCCTGCAATAGAGGTGCCGATTGTGTATCTGATACCCTCCACCAAATTAATATAATATATATATATATATTCATTTGTAGATTATTCCCGAACGCTAACCTAAACCAATAAATTTCTATAACAATGTTAGATTACTGGAGTGTTCACTATAGACACTGAAATCTCAAACTGGATGGTATATTTTCGAAATCAAACATAATTCAAGTCCAAATTTGCAGCACTTTTTACATCTTTATTCAATGGTGCTTCATCCCACACATCCTAGGGTACTTCCACTGGTGGCCTCTATGGCCTAGATATATCCTGCAACTTTAGGAGCTTGGAAGCCTCTGCTTCGACATATGGACCATCATTGTGTGGCGAAATATATTTCTGCAGCATCCTTTTTCCGAGAAATTTCTGGCTTTTCTTGTAGAAAATTCAGAAAATCCAGAAGTTGCAACGAATTTCTCAGTGACCTCGCATTTGTCATACGGTTTGCAGTCAATGATGTGATCAGGTGGGTTTGAGAAAATTTGATTGTATGACTTTTCGGGATTTGCGGGAGTTTGACGTTTTTTTTGCCGGAATTTGACACTTTTTATCGTGTAATTAGTGTAATTCTTGACGTTTTTTGAACGTCAACAACTGGAAATAAACCATGTAGAAACCTTGTAGCCTGCGACATCCATAACTCATTGGTTTTGGATGAATTTCAAGGAAATTAAGTCACATAAGGAATTTTGATCAATTTGACATTGTGTTGCGCAAAAAAAGGTCAATTCCTAGAATTCCGTGAAATTCCTAAGATTTGGAATGTCCAGCTTGTTTTAATGGTCGTTTTCGACCCAACAAAATGTCTAGCACGTATCCCTGCTTATAACAAAATATTACAAAAGCTGCATTGAAAGACACTGACATCACCGCTTATTTACATGCTGATGCTTAACTTTCAATATGTTTGTTGTTTCAACACCTTTTTTTGAGCTACAACCTGCTACCCCACCATATTTAGTTAAGTCATGTTAAGTCGGTTTATAAGTCGTTTAACGGTTCATGAAGCCACAAACATCGAATTTTACAAGAACAAACATGACACTTCAAACTAAATGGTGTCTGTGTTTCTATCATGGCGAACTCCACTTCAAACATGAAACATGTCATTTTGCCAAGCCATCCGCTGACAAAACTGCCCACATCACCATTGCATTGTATACATCCAGCATTTTCATGCATTTTCCCTCCTTCAAAACAGCAGTTTTTCTACCGCCAATCCAAGCCCATATGCTCCATGAAGTATTTACCAACATTTGGGCCATTATGAGCCATTATTGGGGTATATGATATATGTTGGAAAAAAAAAAATCCAGCAGCATGGAGCAATATGGGAAGGTTGTCTCAGAGATCATCAGCCTCCTCCATCATTTGCTGTCGCTTTCGTTCCGCCTCATCGGCTTTCTGACGTAGCACCTACGTTCGCGTAGCGAGAGGAAAGAAGGATCAAAGGTCTACTTGCAGCTTCGTCCCACTTAGTCAAAATATATTTGAATTACTACCTCAAGTGGAGTATCCGTCTACATGTATGTGTGTGTGCATGTATTGTAACATAATAAAATATGGTGCAAAAATTGTAATGGCTGCATATTATGTTGTCGCTGGTTAAAAAAATGCTTTGAACTGCTCTTACCAACGGGATTATCCTTCATGTGTGCAATCGTTGCACCGTCGAAAGACACATTCGTTGTTCCACACTGTCCATTATGCAACACAAATGCAATATCCGTATTTAAACACATGGTAAGTTCATTGCTGTTTTCACTTGTTACAGCTTTCTAGCCGTGAAGAAACGTGATTACGGTCACTATTTTGGTCCCTTCTACATCATATGAGACACTCGTCCGATACTGATCAAACTGTTCCACATGGACATGTCGGCACCTGCCGATCCCATGGGATTACCATCCTCTTCTCCGAACATTCTAACATATTATGTCCCATCTTGAGACCACCCTACATACCCTCTGGTAAACTAACATAACCTTGCTTTTTAAAGTGGATTTACCAATTAAAAAACTTTGATTTTCCATAGTTATGTTGGTTTACCAGAGGGTAATCCTGTGTCACTGTGTGACAAATTACCCGCCCAAAGATTGCCATCTTTTCCTTCAACAAATTCCAACAAAATTGCTGGGATTATCCCAATATATCATCCAATATCTCATATTTAGACAACTCTACAGGGTGGTGCCCCCAAATGCCAATAAGTTGGTTTATAATGCCATCCAAGTATAATTGTGATCACCATAAACTCATATAAACCCTAGTTTTTCTCTAGGTATTCACTAGCTTAGCTGACAAACTGGAGACTGTCAGCAGGAGAATTTCCCACCTCTTCAGCCTCTTCAGCTTCTTCTTGTTTTTCTTTCTTCGCCTTCCCGCGAATGTGTCGATGTTCAGCACGGGGTTTCCGACTGTAAATCGATGTGTCTGAATATGGGTATACCGTAGTACCCAACGAACAGTGATTTTATAGGACACATGATGGCGGTTCATTGGCTTCTAATGGTTGCAGTAGGATGAAGCTAGGAAAATCTCTCCAGCACGCTTCTGTCCTTGTTGCATGCTTTGCCAAATTTCTTCTTTACTGTGGTATGATGGACCGGTGAGAAGAACGAACATCCAAATAAGGATGAGGGCACTTGGTATCGTGCAGCAAATCCAAAGGCATACCCCTAAATCCACTGGTTTATCATCAAGACGCTACTTCAATTGCCATTCTTGGAGGACTAACCCAAATATGAATCTGACAACCATAATATCAAACTATACCAAACGATGTTTGAGGATAATCGGGCCCAGTATCTTTTTGATCCTGCCTGCAAAAGTATGGCTAGTTGAACTTCCTATCAACATTCAACATCTGAAACGGAGGTATTGGACGTGGAATCAGTTGTGTAGTCCGAAGGGGCCAAGGAAGGACAATAAGAACCCCCCCCTTAGGCCTCAAGTGACGCAAAGTTGCAAACATAAACCCGTATATATACCGTTTGACCCTCCGTTTATACCCATAAACATTTGGTCAAATTCTCACTTTTTGATGGGTAGATGAAACCATGTTCTTTTATAGGTATCTAAGATACGGTATCTATAGGTAGTTGGAGGGTCTAGGTCTAGGTAGGCTAGTCCAATCATTTTTCTTGCGATGCAACTCAACTTGTGAATATATGCAGTAGTGGAATGATATAATATATATAATATGAACTACTGTAGAACTTCATTCAACAACTTGATGGTGATATGGTATGTCAATTTCAAGGCATTGTTTCCGTTTTTTTCTTTGTACCGGGCCACTCCAACCCGAAAAATAGCGTCCCAGCCAAAAGTCTTAACAAGTACGCAGTCAAAGCTTTGAAGCCACATGACTCACATGACATGTCCTGATCGCCACCCATGTAGCAAGCAATATCCTATATATTATGTAGATAGTTCATAGTAATGCATAGTATAACTTCAGTAAAAACCCATGTAGTCATCAACCAACAGGTTTTTGACATGGATGAACACTGCTCAATTGCTGCCGATTCAATCTCTTCTAATTCCTCTGCACATGTCGGTTTAGAGATGCAAACCTTGTCAGCAAACATATGGTTTGAAGAATTGTCTGGTGCTGGACGCACTGTTTTCAAATAATAATGTGTTAGCAAAAAAAATAGCTATGGGACAATATGGGACATGATCATTCTTAAAATGACTCATTTTCCACTGCTATGTTCACTGACGAGAAACCAAACAATCTGGATGATTTCCGCCCATTTTTGTTGCCACAAAACAGCAGCACAATGACATGCGCTGCCTCTGGTGCAAGCGCTTCTTGAAACTGATTCCTCCAGGTCCAGCCCTGCATCGGATTGGAGCTGGAACTGTGTAAATCCGGACCCGCTGGCTTCGAAACACCGAAATAGATAGGCTCTATACTAAGTAGTTATTCAACTAGCATCAACTAGCTATACTGTATATATTTCGTAGCCTTTGGATCTTTTGGTAGTTTCAATTCGCATGCCTTGGAGCTATCCATGGGAAGTCGGTGGTATCCATGGCTGGTGGAACTCCTTGGGAACTGGGTTAGCCAGAGATTTTCGCTGCCAAAATGTGGATGTCACTTATCCGTACTTATCCACTGGATTTACCAATAAAAAATGGTGGTTTTCCATGTTTGTTTGTATGTTTACCAGAAGGTAACCCAGATGGCAGCCCAGTTATACTGGTTGGTGGTTGACCTACCCCTCTGAAACATATGACTTCGTCAGTTGGGATCATGACATTCCCAACCTATGGAAAGTCATAAAATTCCATGGTTCCAAACCACCAACCAGTTACCCACTGGATCGTTTTAGGATAACATATCTCATTACAGCTTTCCGGCAGGCGTTCCATTCTTCAAAGCCTGAAGCTGGTCCAACATAGCCTTTAGAATCATAAAGTATCACCTGCAAAAGGAACTTTGGCTACAAGTGGAGGTGTTCCTGGTTACAACAGAATGGCTGGGTTTCTAAGTGGCGGCAAACTTTGTCAGACTGCGCAGTGTTCCCCTAACTCTTAGACTTAGGAAGGGGATAATGATCGATTCATGTGGGCTTGTCACGTCACAAAATTGTCTAATGGTGGGCTCTGCTTAGTGTTGGGGGGGGCCCCCCTCAACAATTTTAGTCTACTCAATAACTAGGCATTTTCTGCGCCCCCCTCAACAATTTTTAGGATAGTCAACTTAAGTAAGGATTTCAATTGACATCAATCTACCTTCAATTCATTTTCTTTTTAAACATCAAAGAAATCTGTTGATAAGAAAGGATTTCACTTGAAATCAATGTGTTTTCAATTCACTTCAATCTACTTTCAATTGATTTTCCTTTGCAACCTCAAAGAATTCTATTGATAAGAAAGGATATCAATTGAAATCAATTTGCTGTCAATTCATTTTAAGCTATTTTCAACGGATTTTCCTTTTGAACATTAAAAAAACTATAAGGACGGATTTCAATTGAAACCAATTTACTATCAATTCATTTGAATCCACGTTCACTTGATTTTCGTTTTCAGTCCAAAAAAATGTCCCAAAAGTTTTTGTGCATAATAGGGTACCATCGAAACACATTATTGAGGATCTGGGTCACTCATGGAGTACCCCCTTTAAAAATTGTTTGGGTGCTGTTTTTTTTTTTAAGGGTTTAATAAGGCATCTAACTATTTGGGAAACCTTGCCTTTTCAAGGCTTTAACGTGGATATGGCTTTCTAAAGTAAATGGACCAGGTGTGCAAATAAACAAATGTAGTTAATTAGTCATTTCTTCTTGAACCATTTTTTCTCCTCCTGAACAACATGGATACAAAAAAAACCCTTCTCACAATAGAGCCTCCCCCCCACAAACAGCAAGACGCTCAATTAGGAAGCAAAAAAATCTCACAATAGGGTGCAATGCCATCACACTCTATAATCGGAAGCTAACATTACCCAGCTATCCCCAAATCCACTGGTTTATAACCATCTTCCCATAAACATATTTAGTATTCAAGATTCTTCAAGTAGCCATTCGGGGGGGAAACCAGTATTTACTCCAGTTTCAACACATCCATTTGTGGTCGCAAAAAGATATTTCGCTCTTGACAGCTGGCCAAGATCTTAGCAGCAGAAGTATCTTCTGGTACCGTGGCTTGCTGGAAAATCCACCATTTAGTTGGATGATATGCTTGATTACCAAAGGGTAAGACCTCTGGTGCGTCAAGACCCACCTGCATAATCCTTCTTTCGTTGGCCTGACACGTGGCGAGCCTGACTGATGCACTCAATCTGTTCAAGTTCCACATTCTATCTGACACACCGTATCTGGTACCTTCTAGAAATCATATAGGTATGAGTCATACCGATTGTCCCCTGGTGCACACCAAAATAGCTGGTTAATATCTTTATCCCCTGACAATGGTATTCCTATGTTTTGATCCATGCCCATATCGAAGACAACCCATTTGATACAATAATACATGTCCATTCAGTTCCTGCGGAAACAACCCCTCTGACCCTTGTAGAGTGTTTGGCCACTCACGATTCAATCCTCAGACCACAACATACCCAGAAATGTACGAAACATCTTCAACTGGTTGGAAGTGTCCTCATTGCAAATGCCCGCCCCATAAAACGCATGCATTTCCACTTCAGTTTGCGTTTTGGAAACCAAAACTGATTCACGAAATGGCAGATAAAATCCTCGTGAAAGAGTCGGACTGTGATGTCGTGCAAAAAAAAACCTCTCAATGAGGGTTTACTGACGGGGCACCCCCGAAATTGGATTATTTTGTTTCTCAAGGCATCATTTGGGGATCATGTTTGGGCACCACGACTTTACTCTCTCTCTCTCTATATATATGTATATATATAATTATATATGCATATGCTCATATATGCTCATATATGTGTGATTATGTGTATATATATATATATGTAGAATTATTGAGCAATCACTAACATGTTTTGATGAGTTGTTCCCTGCAAAACAACTCTGCACCCATAGGCTTACCATGGCCCAGTTCACCTTGTTGAAAGGCCAAGCCACCACGCGAAGTTATCCCCCCTAAAAGTGTCCGTCCCGACACTAGATGCTTAAGAAAACCTTATACAGGCGGTCAATCTTTGATAGTCCGCCAAAAAAAAGGTTATGGATGGTTCTGGGTTATTTTCCATTCCTAGCAGACAACTAAAGGATCAGTTTCTACCCATCCAAGGTTGGGGGGTGTTATAGGTAGTTGTTGTTGCTTAGTCATCCCTCATTTTTTTCCGGTTGGGGGCCACCTGTGGAAAGTGCCACCAAACCGGGTCCAATGGCGCACCTTGGTCAAGCGCCGCGCCTGGAGATGGAGTGGAAATATTCTCTACTTGAGGTAAAAGAAGAACTCGGAATGAGAGGTCGCATGACTTCTTGACTTTCTCAATTTATGGAAACTGGAGGTGTTCGAAAGGTCGAAATCATCTTACCCTTGCTAGTTTGAATCCGTTCATCAACTTTCTGAGTACGTTTGGAACATCCCTATATGCTAACATAATCAACAGAATGGGCCACTGCCGTTTTTGGGTCGATCTGTAGGGGCCACCAACGGTCAATGAGCACTACCCGAGTTGCAAGAAGTGCCCTGAAAGATAGGCAGCAACTTCTTCCATTTTGCCAGCGATGGCAAGTATACTCCATGCAGAAAAAACACATGTTTCAAGAATGGTAATTCTGCCACACGCAGCAGGGTGCCTGCTTTGTTCTTCGCCTTTTGGCGACTTTGTTCTCTTCTTTGTCTTCATCTTGGTCTTGGCCATCCTGTCAACTACTTTGCTTGCAGCCATGCAGACTTTATCAGTGTCACGCAGGGTCACCTCACAGTTCAGCAAAGATGCGTGGCAAATATGTTGTTTTCACGAATGGAAACTCATGATCATCCATGTGAAGTCCTTATAGTTCACCCAGTTGAAAAACAATCCACTTGGTTGCGGTCTCGAAGGATTGCTTGCTATGTCCAGAGATCAATGACTGAAAAAGGGCTGGTCACAACAGTGCCAGTAGGTGTGGCATACCCAAAATAGATTGGAGCAACTGTGCTTGAGGTGAAATATGACCACTTCTTCACCCTTCTTCCCTTTACTCAACCTCCCCTTAAATAGCGTCCCCCATGGGGACTCCATATGTCATACCTTCAGCAACCCCCACAATCACCTGTGGCGACCAACTTCCTTCCTGGCGCTGCTGCTTGGGGGGATCATAGCACTTTGCAACTAGTTGGACAACATAGACGAAACCAATCAACCCCTATGTACTTGTATATATACATGTATATATATATATACACACCTGTAAATACATATATTTCAATGAGGCTGGATTTACCATAGATATATCTGTATGATTATTACATGTGCAGCAAATGATTATATCTATGTTTATGTGGTCTATATGAATAATCAGATACATATATTTGATTTTACTTAATGATATACAATACCTTATTATCTAATTAGGATGTTCCTTTAATGTAAATATATATATATGTAGAAATAAATAAATAAATATATATATATATATATAAACGACAGCCAACATCGCGACAAGTTCTGGTTTTATTGTGTCACAAGACATCAAGCGCCGTTTACCCACCAGAGAAAAACGGAACATCTATAGAACTGCCAAAACATATTGAAGAGCAAACAGCTAGAATTGCATTTTCAAGATATTACGTGTACCTTCTGGTACTACGGAAAACACAAGGTTTCAATAGATAATTCATGTTAAATAATCATAACTACTCTATAAATAAACAATTTTCCATAGCTATCTGCTATCTGAAATTACCGGAAGACAAATATCATGTTAATTCTTTTTGGTGATTTTCCTAAAAAATCTTATTATGGTAGATTTTATATCTCCAGTTTTGTTCATTACACACGTTACCTCCCCTTACTGTTTTGAATGCAGGTTGGTCCAGCTGCCTTGCCTCTTCCGATCTGGCCGCCTTTTCCTGGTCTGGGCTAAAAGCAAACCAATGAGCCATCCACTAAGTTGGACTGACGGTTTCATATAAGGATTGTAGGATAATTAATGGTATATTAATGGTATATGTTAGTCAATGGGAAGGATTATCCCATATATTATGGAAAAATAATCCAAATGTTCCAAACCACCAACCAGAAACTGATTTGCAGGATATACAGGATGTACTGCTGATTTACCTGGTTTGAAAAGCATTTCACCAACAATTAACAACAAATTTGGGTCTGTGTGAGATTATATATGGTCGCAAACCTTCGTAGTCTCTCATCATGTTCCCACTAAAACTGTCATTTTGAGGCTGAGGTATCCACATAGCTTTGGGCAAATCCGAACAGTTCGATGTTACAAACGATGTTCGGGCAAGTTGGTGGTTAATCATCCCAATCGTAAATGCAACAACGCACACTTTGATGTTTTCTCCAGTTGTCAACTGGGAAAAATAACCCAAGTACGTACAGTCGACCCTACAAGTATCCATTAAAATGTGTAAAAGTATCAATATAATTGGATAGATATAATTGGTATATTCGGTATTTTTTCTAGGTACTTTAGGTAGATGATACAAAATGATACAAAATGTTCGAAGTTCTACTGGCACAAGGGGAATGCGAGACCATACCCAACCACACCGTGGTGAAGGCAATGAACATATACCATCCCTACACTCCAAATCCAGATATTAAAATACCATGGAGCAAACGAGTTTGGGGGGACAGAACAAATCAACACTACAACCGCCGACAGCACTGATGCTGAAAATTACGTTGATATCTGAGAAAATATGATTGCCGAATCCCGTGCAAGATGGTGCTCACAAACATTATGTTTGTTGGTCTTGGTTCACCCATCGAACTATAATTAGTTAGTTGTAATCACCCTAAATCCCAGATACTCCAAATTATAAATCAAAATTATCTAAACTCCACAGCAGCATCTGGCATTAGGAAAAAAAAATGCAGCGTTCTGACTCCACCAGTGCCGAGCACAGGTGTGCTGACTGACCTCTTCTTGACGTCTTTTTTCCTGTGACACAAGGCGGGGAAGCAGAGTGCACTGGACTCATGGACGTTCCTCGTTGCTGTGCAAACAATACCGATACAACTCAAGGCTCAGAAATAATCCCACAATTCGAACGCCATCCAATCCTAGTAACCTTGTGCTACCTTGTGTCTGAAACCGATACACTGAACGAATCTAAACACAAAACATATGATCCGAATGGATCCAAAAGGCACCTCTTCTTTCTTTTTTCTAACTTCCTGGCGGCCAGAAAATACTGTGAACATCTGTGAACCATTCAGTGGCTCAACAGAAGCAGTCATCAAGTCACGCTTCTTGCTGCCGATGTCACGTTGGTTGGGGGGTTCCCTTTAATCAGAATACATGTATACATGGAAAAACATGTAGGACATATCATATAACTGACAATTGACATACAGTGCATTGGACGCAACTCCTCGCCTCTTTCAACTTTTTGAGCTCTTCTGCCTACGGCATCGGCCAAAGAAGGCAGGAGAGGAGCTATGATCCAAAGAACACACACCAAACTGCCCAAAACATAGGGAGCCAACGGATGTACATTTGGCGTGAGAAGCCACGTGTGAGGGCATCAACAGGAAATCTAGCCATGACATGCCAAGACTTCAGATGTGCTCTTGTCAATGCACACAGAATGGAAACTGCTTTGTGAGATCTGGGAGAAAACCTAATCCCAAAGTCCAAAGTCTATGTTGAATGGCCTCTGCTCGTTGTCTTTGTTCCTGCCGCACCGGTTGGGGATGCTGCATGAACACTGAACCAGCATGGACCAACCAGTCCGTGAAAACAAAGTCAGATGCAATGGACATCAATGGACCCACGTGCCTGCAACCAACGCACTCAACATCCAAACACAATGACACGATCCAGATCACAAGACGCCTCTTCTTTCTTTCTTCTAGCTTCCTGGCAGCCAGAAAATACTGTGAACCTTTGCGAACGATTCACAGAAGCAGTCATCAAGTCACGCTTCTTGCTGCCGATGTCACGTTGGTTGGGGGGTTCCCTTTAATCAGAATACATGTATACATGGAAAAACATGTAGGACATATCATATCACTGACATTTGACATACAGTGCATTGGACGCAACTCCTCGCCTCCTCCAACTTTCTTCTGCGCTCATCTTCCTACGGCATCGGCCAAAGAAAGCAGGAGAGGAGCTATGATCCAAAGAACACACACCAAACTGCCCAAAACATAGGGAGCCAACGGATGTACATTTGGCGTGAGAAGCCACGTGTGAGGGCATCAACAGGAAATCTAGCCATGACATGCCAAGACTTCAGATGTGCTCTTGTCAATGCACACAGAATGGAAACTGCTTTGTGAGATCTGGGAGAAAACCTAATCCCAAAGTCCAAAGTCTATGTTGAATGGCCTCTGCTCGTTGTCTTTGTTCCTGTCGCACCGGTTGGGGATGCTGCATGAACACTGAACCAGCATGGACCAACCAGTCCGTGAAAACAAAGTCAGATGCAATGGACATCAATGGACCCACGTGCCTGCAACCAACGCACTCAACATCCAAACACAATGACACAATCCAGATCACAAGACGCCTCTTCTTTCTTTCTTCTAGCTTCCTGGCAGCCAGAAAATACTGTGAACATCCGTGCACCATTCACTGGCTCAACAGAAGCAGTCACCAAGTCACGCTTCTTGCTGCCGATGTCACGTTGGTTGGGGGGTTCCGTTTCATCAGAATAGTACATGTGTATACATGGAAAAACATCCCGCCGGACCGGAGACCGTGCTCATCGGCGTGCACATTGTGTCCAAAAATGGCGATTTTACCACAGTGCCGTGCTGATTTGATGATTTGAAAACCTGGAAAAATTTGAGGCACGTTTTTTGGCTTTTCACCGTCATCGCTGCAACGCATGCACCGTTATCAGCTGGCAGTAGTAACAAGTATAACGTAGCAACGATCCCAGAGATCTCAGCAGCGTAGTAACAAGCAGCAACGATCCCAGAGATTTCAGCATCGTAGTAGCAGCGTAGTAACAAGTAACGTAGCAACGATCCCAGAGATCTCAGCAGCGTAGTAGCAGCGTAGTAACAAGTAACGTAACAACGATCCCACAGATCTTTGCAGCGTGGCACACTATTATGTACGAAGTACAAGAAACGTTGACATGGCCCCCACCCCACCCCACCCCATCAGCAGCGTAGAATCATGTCACGTAGCAACAACACCAGAGATCTCTGCAGCGTGGTAGCAAGTAACGTAGCAACGATCCCAGAGATCTGTGCAGCGTAGCAAACTATAATGTACGAAGTACAAGGAACGTTGACATGCCCCCCCCCCCCCGCCCCAAAAACGTGCGTTTTACGAGCACGGTTTTTGGTCCGCAGGCAAAAACATGTAGAACATATCATATATATCACTGACAATTGACATACATTGGACGAAACTCCTCGCCTCCTCCAACTTTATTCTGCGCTCATCTTCCTACGGCATCGGCCAAAGAAAGCAGGAGAGGAGCTATGATCCAAAGAACACACACCAAACTGCCCAAAACATAGGGAGCCAACGGATGTACATTTGGCGTGAGAAGCCACGTGTCAAGGCATCAACAGGAAATCACTGCTGTGTGAGATCTGGGAGAAAACCTAATCCCAAAGTCCAAAGTCTATGTTGAATAGCCTCTGCTCGTTGTCTTTGTTCCTGTCGCACCGGTTGGGGATGCTGCATGAACACGAACCAGCATGGACCAACCAGTCCGTGAAACGAAAGTCAGATGCAATGGACATCAATGGACCCACGTGACTGCAACCAACGCACTCAACATCCTAACGCAATGACACGATCCAGATCACAAGACGCCTCTTCTTTCTTTCTTCTAGCTTCCTGGCAGCCAGAAAATACTGTGAACCTTTGCGAACGATTCACTGGCTCAAAAGAAGCAGTCATCAAGTCACGCTTCTTGCTGCCGATGTCACGTTGGTTGGGGGGTTCCCTTTCATCAGAAGAATATAGTATACATGAAAAACATGTAGGACATATCATATATATCACTAACAATTGACATACATTGGACGAAACTCCTCGCCTCCTCCAACTTTCTTCTGCGCTCATCTTCCTACGGCATCGGCCAAAGAAAGCAGGAGAGGAGCTATGATCCAAAGAACACACACCAAACTGCCCAAAACATAGGGAGCCAACGGATGTACATTTGGCGTGAGAAGCCACGTGTGAGGGCATCAACAGGAAATCTAGCCATGACATGCCAAGACTTCAGATGTGCTCTTGTCAATGCACACAGAATGGAAACTGCTTTGTGAGATCTGGGAGAAAACCTAATCCCAAAGTCCAAAGTCTATGTTGAATGGCCTCTGCTCGTTGTCTTTGTTCCTGTCGCACCGGTTGGGGATGCTGCATGAACACTGAACCAGCATGGACCAGCCAGTCCGTGAAAGCAAAGTCAGATGCAATGGACATCAATGGACCCACGTGACTGCAACCAACGCACTCAACATCCTAACACAATGACACGATCCAGATCACAAGACGCCTCTTCTTTCTTTCTTCTAGCTTCCTGGCAGCCAGAAAATACTGTGAACCTTTGCGAACGATTCACTGGCTCAAAAGAAGCAGTCATCAAGTCACGCTTCTTGCTGCCGATGTCACGTTGGTTGGGGGGTTCCCTTTAATCAGAATACATGTATACACGGGAAAACATGTAGGACATATCATATCACTGACAATTGACATACATTGGATGAAACTCCTCGCCTCCTCCAACTTTCTTCTGCGCTCATCTTCCTACGGCATCGGCCAAAGAAAGCAGGAGAGGAGCTATGATCCAAAGAACACACACCAAACTGCCCAAAACATAGGGATCCAACGGATGTACATTTGGCGTGAGAAGCCACGTGTGAGGGCATCAACAGGAAATCTAGCCATGACATGCCAAGACTTCAGATGTGCTCTTGTCAATGCACACAGAATGGAAGCTGCTTTGTGAGATCTGGGAAAAAACCTGATCCCAAAGTCAATGTTGAATGGCCTCTGCTCGTTGTCTTTGTTCCTGCCGCACCGGTTGGGGATGCTGCATGAACACTGAACCAGCATGGACCAACCAGTCCGTGAAACCAAAGTCAGATGCAATGGTCAATGGACTCACGTGCCTGCAACAAACGCACTCAACATCCTAACGCAATGACACGATCCAGATCACAAGACGCCTCTTCTTTCTTTCTTCTGGCTTCCTGGCAGCCAGAAAAAATACTCTGAACAACTGACTTACTGCAGAATGGTAGTTCTTAAAGATAAAGACAGATCATGCTCTAAAACATTTTGGAAGGTGTCCATTTTGGAAGGTATCCATGGCAACACCTTATCCTCCTTTCTCTTGAGCTCTGCTAATGACATGGGAGGCAATGGGGTCACAACATAAGTCGGCAATCATATGATTCACGTCCACAAGTCGGAAGTCGATTCAAAAGTTCTAACCTACTACTACTACAAACAGAAACAAAAGATTTCATTATATCAACTGATTAGTCATGGAACCTGTGGTGACGAGGCGAGTCACACCATCTCAGCTAGATATAATGTGAATGTGTGTATGTATGCATATACATGTTTACTAAAATATAATACTGTAAGTAAATATGTATATATATATATTATTATATCATATTATTTCTTATTATAATCATGTTATATTATATCATATTATATTAAAGTGTAGCGTATGATATTATTTTGTCTTGTATTATATTAGATTGTATTCTATTATGTTAAATTGTATTGTATTACAGTAATTTATTTTGCATTAGATTATAGATTGCCATATTATATTATATTACGCCATAGTCAATTGTATTATACAAGTGTATATATATATATATATTATTTTAAAAATAGAAATATAATATTATAATGTATCTATAATATTATGTATTATATTTAATACATTAAATTATATTAAAGTATTCTATATCATACTAAGATAAATCATAATAAATAAAGAAAAATAAAACTATGTATTATATTATATTAAATAAAATTATATAATATTATATATCAAATTAAATTAAATTATATTAAATTAAATTAGTTTCACTTAAACTATATTATAATAACATAGATATTCTATTATATTCTGATATTATATTAAATTATATTATATTAAATTATATGGCAATATTATGTTAAAATAAAAGAATTTTGATATATATATATATATAAATTATACTTAATATAATATTAAGTATTTTATTGTCTTTTATCAAATAATATTATATTTTACTGTAGTATATTATATTGTAACATATTTTATCATATAGCAATATTAAATTACATTCAAAATAAATTGTATTATATTATAGTATATTATATTATATTATATTATAATAAATACTGTCTTAAATGATTACATTGTAATATATTATATGATATCTTATTATAGTATAGTATATTATATTATAGTATATTATGATATATTATGAAATTACATTATTTTATATTATATTATGATATGTTATAATATCATATCACATTATGTCATATTATATTGTATTATGTCAAATTATATTGCATCATTTTTTTGAAAACATATTATATTATATTTTATTATATAAAGTACTATATTATATTACATGACATTACATTTATTATATATATGTATGAGTACCATATATAAATACATTTATGTATGTGTAGGGGACTTAACAACCATCAAAGATATGAATGTACAGAATCATTACTGAACATTAAGGAATGACCGTTCAAAAAGGATAATGATTTGGGGATGTTCAACTGCTCGTCGGTTCATCCAACAAAATGGATAGCAAATAGGCGAGAACACCATGGTAAACTATATAGATGTTCAGTAGGGTGATTGTCCACTTCTGACTGGGGTGAACTAATCTACTGATTCAGATGATGAACCACCCAGTACCATCTCACCTCTCTGATCGTTGCTGAATATGTCATTGACGTCTTCACTGAAAAAGCTACTATCATGCCTGACTCACTTCTACAAACGGAATTCCATGTGTGTTTGCAAACTACAAATGCCATACGTCCTAAAAATCCCCTCAACATGCAGGTCTATTGGGAAAAATGATGACAATCAGGCTATAGCACCGATTTTTCAGAGAAAGCTATGCCAGCTGTCAGCTCGACTTGTCGTCACCTCCACTTCTTGCTGCCTCGGCCTTCTCTCCTCGTCCTGAAGCGACCCCGAATGGTTGGCAAACTGACACACTCTGAGCTGCTGGGGTCAATATAAAAGCCATGTGGACCAAGGTTGCCGCATAGCATTAGCTTTCCAAGGAGGGAGCGCATAAGACTGACTCAAACTGAAGTATTAAACTAGCCATCCACATGAAAGGCTTTCTTCGGCTTTTTGTGACTTGGATTTTGACCCTCTCTAACGATATTTATCCCTATGCAACAGTGAGAACAGCTTTAAACCAACTGACCTGTCGGACCTGTCGTTTCGTGGCACCTCCCTGCAAGGTTTGCCCAGGTCTGGGGCTCTCCTCGTCCTTCCTTCTTTCTCTTCTGCGAGACCGAGGCTCTCGTCTTCGGCTCCTCCTTCGGCGTCTTCGCTGCTCCTAGGCCAAACTAGAGCACATGGGTATTATAGGTGTGTCTAAAATTGGGACGTGACACCAACTGCTTAACCATGTATCTCCATTTCAGGATGGCTTTAACCATGTTAAACCATCAGATTTAATGGTGAACTGTTAACTCACCAAGTTTGGTTGGGTAAACAATCAGAGTAGTTGATGACAATCTCCGTTGAACACCCAGTCCCAATCAGCCTGCTTGGCCCCTGCCGGAGGTGACTTGCGTCCCTGAGGCGCTGGGTTTCTACACACGTTGCAGGGACCCCCGCCCTGAAATTTCAATGCTATTAGTGCCTCCTTGCCTGGATTGAAGCAACCCTTCCGTCAGTTCAGACATGTATCATCATTTATCATCATTTATCATCATTGATCATCATTGATCAGAACTTATCATCATTTATCAGAATTTATCAATAGGGATGTACATATTGATTCATATTGATTCCTATTAATATGTGCCTTCAAGGCATGGCGGACTGGCGGAAGCAAATGGTCGTTTTTTTTTTAAATCAAACCCCTGAGGACTGACATGGATTGACATTTACACGCCTGGGCTTTGATGAAAATTTGTCCATCTACTGTCCCGTCAGTCTCCCTTTTGGGACATTGTGACATGATAATTAAACGGTGCTAAACACATTCTCAGTCTCATTGAATGGCTGGTTTAAACTAGTAACTAGTTTAATTATATAACTTTATGCTAATGTATGCTACCGTCTTGGCGGGGTTCATCACCCAACAGAGGCCATGGGTTGGATCAGTTTTCTCAACATGTTTTCTTGTTTAGGAGTTGTCCAAAGATCCAAGGATTTCCCAAGATAGCATCAGCTGAACTGAAGAAAATGTCAACATCCCCGCCCAAAGCGTTGGTTTGCGAAAAGTCCGGCCCCATATATGGCAAATGTTGACCCATATCTGAATCCGATTTGCATGGGGGGTCACTTCAACTTGAATTCGAGGTACCAAGCTTCTGTGAGGTCATGTGAGGTCTATGTAAGTCAACAGAGCCCTGCATCCTACAGATCCAGAGCCACCTGGGTCAGAACTTGTGCAGCTTCCAGTTAGTTTCTTAAGATGCAGGATCCCCAGTCACCATGGGATTCAATACTTACATATACTTTCTGGAACCGTCGACCATGACTTGGGTGATTTGGGGTGTACCCCCAAGACCTAGGAAACTTCCCGTGCAAGGACCTACCATCCTTCATGAGCATATTGAGGCCGGCCAGGGTTCGGTCGCAATCCGACTCACCCATCACCAGATTGCCTTTGAATCGTGCAGTGCTTTCGAATCGCGCCGCTGCCGATGACGGGGCCGCTGGTGAGTCTCCTGTGGAAGGTTTTCATGTGGACCCTGGAAGCTATAGTGCCACTGTCCTTGGAAATGCACTGTTTGATCTAATTACCGAACACAAAGATTATTTAATTGATGATTTTTCTATCGTTCACCCGACAACAACTGGATACGCGAGGGCTCTCACCAACCGCAGGGTCATAGAATCACATGATTTAATAATAAAACATTAATATTATTATTTTTCCATCTCTATCAACAAAAGTGGATGAGTCATGATGAATCGAAACATTCATCAACCCTGCGTTATACTTCTGGTCTGAAGAGAAAATCGCTGCGCCCATTCTGTTTTGTCTCGGAGTGAAATTGCTCCCGACTCAGAGATTTTTCGGATGATTCCCGGGATTCTACCTGGACACTCCAAGTGCCCATAAAAATTGGTAAAAGTTCCAGATAATGGGTACAGTTATGGCCCTTTTTCCAGGTATAAGTACTTATAACCCCATTTATAGAATGTATAATCCCATTTATAACTAGTTATAACTAGTTTATGGCCATAATTGTATATTACATGGTAGTATTACCCCATTTTCCAGGTACTTGGAGGGTCTAAGTAAACACAATCTTCGTTGATGTCGGTCAGTGATGTCAGATGATGTCAGTATATATGTTACCCGCAACCGTGTGGCGAGGTCGTCCAGAGGTAGCCCAAATTTTGCCTAGGACAAGCCCCATATCTGCTGGTTCCTAGTCACACAAGTTTGGGTTTCACCAATGTCTACTGATCAGGATGATTCATGATATGATACTTTGCAAAGCAGAAATCAGCCTATGCTAGTGAGGCTTCCTATCTGTAGATTCTCATCGTCCGCGTGGTTTTGTAGCTGAGTTCACAACCATAAGTGTGGTATTCCATGGGTCATAACCCAGTGGTAATCACAATGTTACTGGATGATATTGCCATGTCCGGTAAGAGAAATCCTGACAAACACCACTGATTCTTTTCTTCTTTCTCAAATCAGCCTGTACTCAAAAACCTCACTTGCTTTTTTTCAATAGATCCTTAAACACAACTTTTTTGATGGATCCCCGTGGCCTTCTCCCACGGCATCTCTGTGCCCCCATTGGATCGGTTTAAGGGAAACTTTGCTGGAGAGCCTACTTGGTGGTTGACCTACCCTTCTGAAAAATATGGGTCAATGGGGTTGGAGTTATCCCATCTATACATATATATATTATGGAAAAATAATCCAAATGTTCCAAACCACCAACCAGAACCATGGTCTCCTGTAGATTTTCCCTGAAACCAATCGATGAAATTGGGAAAAATAGAGGGTGAAGCTTTGCCATGCCATTTATGATATGACTTTCCTGTTGTTTGCAGAGGGGGGCTAAGCCCTCGATGCGTGCCATAATCATCCCCGTGAGGATGGGATGAACGTATTTCAATCTGCCAGTGTATATTCCCAAAGCGACATGGATGGATCTTTGGACCAATGTACGAAGAAAACATGAGTGAATTAGGACACAATGCTCTGGGTCGGTTGGTACCCTAAGCAAAATTTGACCCATATTCATTACCATTGGTAAACGAGGTTTGAACTCAACAAAAAACACATGTTGGCATGTTGTATAAAATTGAACATTGGTCAACAATGACATACGGTAATTTATGCTAATGACATATCATATATGATGAGTAAATATGAGCCATGATGAGCAATGGTGAATACTTCTGCTTGGTTTCAACGGTCAAGGTCAAGGTGTATATTATTCCCTTAAGCATGATCAGTTGCAAGAGATGTGGGTGTCGATATAGGCGATTTCTCCTTCTCGTTCCTCTGCTCTCCGACCTTCTTCACCTGCAGAACATCTCCAAATTACAGTAAAACGGTATTCTCCAAATTACAGTAAAACAGAACATCTCCTTTCAAGCCTTAACGCAAAGAATCTCTCAAAATAATGTCTGATGTGGGCACGAGGAACCATGATCTTGTTCTTTTGGTACAATGTGGGTCCCCCCCCCAGATATCAGTTAGTTGAGATTCACCCATTCAACTGCATATGTTTTCTTAAAAATAAAGCACATATACTATATATCCCACAAATCCTAGTTATATTGAGGGCACGACATTGTAGCTAAAAGATAGAAACAGGAATTGTCCACTTCCAGCTGAGATTTCTTGCCAGCATTGGGAAATGAAAAGAAACCGCTATCAACCGAGGCCATGCCTTTAATATCTTGACAAATGGGGTGATATACTATTTGTGTGGTGACTTTTAATCATTTTTCTGGGTAGTACTATTGTGTTCATAATTTTCAACAAAAAAGGTTTGCTAAAGGGAAATCTGCATGTTTGGTGATTGAATCGCACACTTTGACAATCGCCACTGGATGAAATTGTACAACCCCAGTTGGTGACTCATCGTGCAATGTGATCCTCTAATGATATTACCCAAACCAGCTATAGTAGGGTTCACCTGCTCGTTCGCAGCGTTCCTGGTCAATTCATGGAGGTCTTTACTATATAATTAAATCATATAGCTCTTTCAAGAATTGTCTTGTCCATAAGCAAGGATGAGTATGAATGGGTTGTAGAGCTGCCAATCTCATTCGACTATCGCACTCCCTGTTGGATATGGCCATTGGAGTTTGCATGTCAACATTGAGGAGATCAGAATTGTAGCCCGTAAAAGCTCCAACATGAAAATAGTTATTATCAAACAGCGCCATGTGTGGATAATGATATAATTCAATTCCAGTGAGGTCATTGATCAAAATCATCCCACAAACTAAGACGGGGGGAATCTGGAGAACCCATTCTTGAGACTATTAGAATACATATGGTACATATTGTAACCAATCGGAATTCTGTTTCACATTGTTAGATTACATGAATGTAACAATATGTATTGTTATATTAGATGAATGTAATAATATGTATCAAATTGTAACAATATGTTTAAAAAATCATCTCCAAGGATATGAATCACTTGCCCAAAAATACACATCCATTGGGGGACCATCCAACCCGGCGACCTCGCGACGATCGCGACGATCGCGACCATTGCGACGATCGCGACGATCGCGACCATCCTCCTCCGACTCCTCGGCTTCCTGGCATGGCAATTTCTGTTGTGTTTGAATTCTTGTTCCAATCAGATAACTTGTATGTAATTATGTAATTAACAAAGCAAATCATCTAATGAAATTTTAATACAATATACATTGCCGGCAAGATTAAAGTTGAAGAGGCCTAAACTTGGGCCAGCTTAGTGGACGATCGATATTTAATTATTCGGAAGCCCTCTTCGCTGACATTCCTAGACTGCATGATTTCAGGTCACCATCAGCCGCTGCTTTGCCTGCGTGACATCCGCTGTCTTCGCTTTGTCCTCCTGTTGTGGTTTAGTTTTCTCCGAGGAGGTAATATAGTTATATAATCGCAGAGCTTTTGATAGTGCCATAGGTTTTCTGCCCCAAAAAGTCGTGTACTGGGAAAAACCAACAAGAAGTCTAGTGGGGAAAAACCTGTTTGATCCAAATACCAACACTAAACAAAATCGATTGCACATAAGAACCATTTAAACGGGGCAATTGTTGAGGAGCATGCGTCTCCCAAACATGTTTCAAGTAAAAGTACATAGAATGACATATATTCACATATCGCTTTCTAGATGTCTGCCAACGGATTTGGGCATGCAGGCCCAATCTTGACATCATCGCTGAGCCTCCGAAAGAGCACAGCGTAAACTGTTCCCGCCACGTATCCCAAAAGGGTTTGAGCTTTCAAGAATTGAGTTTAATGGTAGGCACCAAGAAACACACAGTGGCAAACATGGCAATCCGCGATAGAAGGACCTGGTTGTTTGTTGTTTGCCATCATTTGCATGGTGTGTCTTATACTATTCAACTCTATATTCTTATTTAAAATATTAGAAAATAAACATCCAAATCAAGAAAGAAACCCTGGTTGGTAGACATACATGCATCTTGCTGTGACGTGAAGAAAACGTGTCTCGAACGATTCCGAAATGATTTCAGGACATGCCACGACGCAGCGTCACCTGCTCTTCGTCTTCCTCGTCGCTGGCATCTTCCACCTCCGTATCTCCGGCCTCGGCTTGAAAGCAGCAACCAGGTCCGGACCATGTATGGGATCTCCTCATCACATGTATATTATATATGGTACATCAAAATAACTATCTTAGATATATACAATACATGATATATATATATATATTGTATATATATATACTATATATGTTTTATTTGGATATCTCATGAGATCTCCGATTCGAGTGGGATATTGTGTCCAGGTAAGAGTGAATGTGGGGAGATGTACCACAGATTATTGATGAAAGTGTGGGATTGGCGCAATCTTCACAAACAGCAAACGGAGGCCTACGACTGTATACTGTATGGTCACGGGCTGCGTCCCCCATGCGAAACCTCTGAAAACCGGGTGCTAAATCTTTGTGCATTTGCATTTGTATGCATTTGTTGTATCTTTTCATTCTGGATTCTCGTTGCTACAGTCAGTTCAAATCCTGTCATTTATATTCAGTATACCAAAGCAAAAACTAAAACCAGGCCAAACAACAACACACATTTGGCCAACTGATTTCTTGCGTATCTGGCTTCATCTCTTTGAATTCTTGCTTCTTGACCCAGACTGGAATATTTCGGATCACCATCACCCACGGCTTTGCCTCAGTGACATCAGCTGTCTTCGCTTCCTCCTGCCGCGCTTTAGTTGTCTTCCAGGAGGTCATAGTCCATAGCTATCCACAGCTTTCATAGGTGCCCCAAATGTCATGTGTTGGATGAAACCAACAAGTGCCTATAAAGAGGACATACGCGTTTGTTCCCAAATACCAGCACTAAACAAGACCAATTAAACATAAATAGTAGCTGACGAGCATGCGTCTTCCAAACATGTTTCAAGTAAAAGTACATAGAATATCAAAGAATGATAGATATCCGCCCAAGTGATTTGGGCAGGTTGAATGCAGGCTTAATCTTGACATCATCGCTGAACATGCAAGAGATTGGACTGCCGCCCAAAGGCCAGACCCTCACTTGCGCACCCGAAATTTCACTCACTTGCGCACCCTCACTCACTTGCGCACCCAGTGAGCAAAATGTCACTCACTTGTGCACCCTCATCATCTCTCATTCTGGAAAAAGCCACTGCACTTTCATCATTGTTGGCTGTGGGTGCGGTGGGGTGGGGTGGGACAATAACGCTCATGTTCCTGTGCACACACAGGCACCGCAACCTCATCATCTTTCCTGCTCTCGTACAGACACAGGCACTGCTCTTTCATGATCAGTTACCGGTGGGGTGGGGTGGGGTGGGACCATAACGCTCATGTTCCTGTGCACACACAGGCACCGCAACCTCATCCTCTTTCTTGCTGTCCTGCAGACACAGGCACTGCTCTTTCATGATCAAATACCGGTGGGGTGGGGTGGGGTGGGGTGGGACAATAACGTTCATGTTCCTGTCTACACACACAATGATGGTGATGATGATGATGATGGTGATGATGATGACGATGATGATGGTGATGATGATGATGGTGGTGGTGATGATGATGATGATCCCCATGATCATGATTTTCATGGGTGTACAAGCGAGGGAAATAGTGGGCGTACAAGCGAGTGAGAATCGGGGTGTACAAGCGAGTGGTCGCCCCTTAGAACCAGGCCTATGGCATCTGTTCCTCCAGCACCCAGGCCTGCTGCACAGGAAAAAGGTCTGGAGACATGTGTCAAATTGGACATACACACTCAAGCGACAGAAATGCCTTGATGCCACGGAAGCGGCCACGACTTTTGAAGCTTGCCGTGCTGTGCACTAGATCTGCGCACCATTGGTCTGGGGCATGCTGTTGCATTGGTTGGATACACAACTGCAGTCCAGCCAGCTGTACTTGAAAAATCTACTAATCTACTAGCTGACGGATGCACAATTCCAATATTTTTTGATTCATGACTACATACAAAGTATGAAGACAAGAGACAAAAGCTTCCTGCAAGTAAATTTGTCTATGTTTGGAAGCTAAATGTCGCGAAGTAGTCTGGAAGCTGAATGTTGCGAAATAGTCAAAATGATTGAATGACATTGAGTATACAATTACATAAATTGTTTCATCACAAAATGTCCAATCTATATATAATATTCTATGAGGTGCATATGAATTGTAGACGAGTACCGTCGTGCATCATTGTCCATTCAAATAATTAGAATCAAGCACTGATGTTGGCCCGGCGTGAGCGCCACAACACAACAATCAGGTTATAAAAGATGTGAAACCAAAAAACAAACACATTTTGGATTTGTGCAAGCTACATACAAAATCATACAAAATCATACAAAATCATTCGCGACTTGTACAAAGGTCAGAAAATCTATGATCAAAGCAACATGATTGAACATGACACTGGGAATTTGTCACTTCTTCTGCTTTGCAGAGCCAACAACATTGCCCATTGGATTGGGCCCAGCCACCATTTTCCCTGGCATCCCTGGCTCACATGCCTTCCCCATCATTCATAGGCCCGGCGCGAACGCCACAACGCTACAGAGTCAGGGTACCAGCTGAGGTGCATTGCCAAAACAAGAAAATCTAGTGAATTCTATCAACCACAGTAAATAACATAGCAACATATACATTTACAAATAATCATATATACATGTTGTGTGAATTGACTATGATATATATATATATATTCTAACACATACATATATTTATAGTTATAAATAGATATAGATATAAATACACTAACATGGTATTTGTTTATTATCTGACATGATTCTAGATCCAAGATGTAAATAATAACGGACACATATTTTACACAATATGTTAGACAGGAAGCATTTCAAATGTGTCCAAACACTGATTTGCATGCACCCTTTGCCATGGACAGCGGATGACTGGAAATCACGTCTCTACGATTTCCATTGTCCAGGCCCAAATTGGGTTCGTGACATCATCTTGCAATTGCATGATGAATCAGTTCAAGTGGTTCGGGAAGTGACACCTGGACATGTTTATGTCATTATAATAATGACATAAACATGTCCAGGTGTCACTTCCCGAACCACTTGAACTGAATCATCATGCAATTGCAACATGATAACAGGCCACCATGTCATGTGATTAGCATTCTCCCCACTCCCACTCCCACTCCCACTTGCATTTGGGTCAGGGAGTGGGCCGTCATCGGGAATTTCGTGGTAAAGACGCAGCATTGTCTTGTCGTATGTGGAATTCCCGTACTTGCCGCTGCTTGCATCGTACTTGACAGCGGCACAGTGAAACCCTGTGATGGACTCGTTGGTTATCACATGTCTTTTGGCATTTTTGCTGCGTCCGCGCCTTGGATTTGCTAAAGGGGCTCAAAAATAAAAAGACCAAAAAAAACCTATACTATGGAATCCCCAGATGATGGATTCTCCACATTGGGCACAGAAATAAAAACAAACATCGACTTAAACAAACCCAAGACGCTTCAAGAATGCACAGCGGCCAGCCCTAATTTTCTCCATCAGCACCTTGGGCAGCTCGAAGACAGCATCACCAAAGTATTCCATGGGGCCCTTTCTGGTGCAAACCTTGCAACCGGAACCCCATCGCCGCAGGCCAAACCCAGCCGGCGGGCCAAACACCCGGTCCAGCTGGCACTCTTCCTTGAGCACCCGTTGGTGCGCACTGGACATTGCGTGACTGTCATCACACTGCTTGCCGCATGCCAGACACATGCCATCCTTCAAAATTCGGCTGTGGATGCTTCTCTTTTCTTCAGTGGTTGGCTCTACTGCTTCAACGTCTTTATCTGGCCAAACACCTTCTCGAAGCATTTCTTCTAAGAGGTTGGTGCCATCTCCTCTGAACTGTTCAGCCTGTTCGGCATGATGCTGCCGTATGATCTCCGTCTTCAATTGTGATGATTTGGCCTTGTACAGGCGCATCTCCTTGTACAGGCGCTTCCTTTCCTCAGGGTTCAGTTTATCCACTTCGGCAGCAATCATTTTGTCTTGGTATACCATGGACCTGAATCATCTTGAAGCCTTTCTGCCCGGGCCGCGGCAAGCTTCCGAACGGGTGTTTGTCCTCTTGCTGGTTCCAAATGAGGTAGTGCCTTTGACACTGTCTTCAGTGTCTGACGTTTGCATGTCAGAAGCAAATGCATCCTTTGACACATCATCTACACTTGTTGACTCCAACGAGACACCGTCCTTCTTCATCTCCTCCCACAAACGCCACACGATTTGAGAGCGGTGTCGTTGTTTTTTTCCTTGAACCAATTGCACGAGAGTATACAGAGCAATACAAATGCTTGGCAATGCGTTGCCTGCTTTCCTACTATGATATTCTATATCTACTGCATATTCTCATACATGGTCTACTATGTGGCACTGAGTCTATGTGGATACAAGTGTCCAAAAGTATACAAGTACCCATTCCAGACTTTGAGCTTTCAACAGTGAAATTGCAGCACCAAGATAGAAACACGAGTGACAACCACAGCAATCCGAACATGTAGGACAAACAGGCTCCATCCACGTGAAAACGAAGAAAACGAAAAACACATAGTTGACACTCTATCCGTTTCTATTCGCCCGCCTTATATAGCAACAGCTTGAGCAAATCCTACCATACAACATCCTGTAAGTTCGAATGGATTGAGAAACACACTCAAAAAAGGAGGTTGCAACGTTGAGTTTCAGAGATGGCATAAAAAAACAGGTGCACTCATGAGTGCTTCCATAAATGCCAGGGTACCGTGAATCGTATCATATAAACTTGCTCGAGTCACTTCCTGAGTAAAAACCGACACACCCTGCAAGCGGATATCGCCCATTTCTGCAATGGTTAGAACTAGGGCTTTTCAGTGCTGCCCAATGATGTCCTCCAATGGGGGCAATAGAAGCGCCTGTTTAGTTTATCCGTGGCCATCATGTGCCATCATTTGCCTACAGAAATATTTCAAACCAATATGGAGAAAAGGTCTGTCTTTTATTAGTCCCATTCCCCTAAAAAAAGCGGTAATACTAAATACTGCCCCCAAACACAAAATGGGTGATTTAGTGATTCATTTTGGGGTCCCAGTGCTGTATAATAGCAAATTCGCACAAAAGTTCCAACACAAGACATACCCTCTGGTAATTTGTTACAGTTTGCAATTGAAAATGGCCCAGTCAAAATCGTTGATTTCCCTATTAAAAATGGTGATTTTCCATAGTTATGTTAGTTTACTCCATAAAAATTGGTGGATGGGGGAATCATATGTTGATTTTCCCTATTAAAAATTGTGATTTTCCATAGTTTTTTGTATGTTTACCAGAGGGTAAACAAATGATGGGGGAATCCGAGGATGGCATTGTTGCCTGCTCTTCGTCGCTGGCGTCTTCCACCTCCGTATCTCCGGCCTCTGCGAATTCAGCAGCAACCATGTCCGGACCATGTATGGGATATCATCACATGGTAATATGTGTGGTACATGAAACAACTATTTCATAATATTTCACAGTCAGATACATGTTATACATTCATACATGTGTATCAGTAGTACCGCACAAGGCGGTGGCGGAAGTTTCAAAAATAGGAAACCTATAGGAGAGGTTGGTTGTTGTGAATCACGGATGGCAGAGCGAAGCCACTGATGACCGAAAGGTGGTTGAGGTCTCTTCTCTTTCTCTCTCTTTCTGTCTCTTTCTCTGACCATCTACCTACCTACCCACCTATCTATCTATGCATCCATCTATCTCCCTCTCTCTCTCTCTCTCTCTGTCGTGTAGTGCAGTGTGGTGTAATTAGTGTAGTGTAGTGTAGTGTAGTGTAGTGTAGTCTTATATAGTTGTAGTTGTAGTTAGTGTGACGTAGTGTAATGTAGTGTAGTGTAGTGTAATGTCATTAGTGTAGTGTAATGTAATGTAGTGTAGTTGCAGTTGCAGTTGCAGTTGTAGGTGTAGTGCAGTGTTATTCAGTGTAGTGTAGTGGAGTGTAGTGTAGTGTAATTAGTGTAGTGTAGTGTAGCGCAGTGTAAATGTAGTATTGTTGTAGTTGCAGTTGCAGTTGCAGTTGTAGTTGTAGGTGTAGTGCAGTGTCATTCAGTGTAGTGTAGTGGAGTGTAGTGTAGTGTAGGCTAGTGTAAATGTAGTATTGTTGTAGTTGTAGTTGTAGTTGCAGTTTGCGTTGTAGTTAGTGTAGTGTAGTGTAGTGGAATGTAGTGTAGTGTAGTGGAATGTAGGGTAGCGGAGTGTAGTGGAGTGTAATGTATTGTAATGTAGCGGAATGTAGTGTAGTGTTTTGTAGTGTAGTGCAGTGTAGCAAAGTGAAGTGCAGTGTAGTGTAGCGTAATTGAGAGTAATTGAATGTAATTGAATGTAAAATGTAGTGGCGTGTAGTGGAGTGTAGTGTAATGTAATGTAGTGAAGGTGTAGTTGTAGTTGTAGTGTATTGGAGTGTAGTGTGGTGTAGTGCTGGTTGTAGTTGAAAATGCTACAAAATCCTCACGTTTTGCTCACTTTTGACAAGATTCACAATCCCTCGCACCTGCCATGCGGAACGACATCTCAACGTCCAAAAGTGGTCCGAACCCCTAGTGCTTTTAACATTTTGACTTGGAAATGTGCTTCGCGCCACAACGGTGTGCACTTTTTCGACATCTCAACTTCCAAAAGTGGTCCGAGCATGGTGTGCTTTGTACATTTTGACTTCGAAATGTGCTTCGCGCCACAACGGCGTGCAATTTTTCATCTCTCATCTGGCCAGATGGCTCCGCACCCGCCGCTTTAGCGAGCCTATTTTCCGACCCTCCGGAGCCACAAATCATTGGAAAAACACAGTGCTTCGCGACTTTCCTACCTTTTCGCGCATCTGCATCTTCTTTCTTCTGACTCTTTCTCTTCTCTGATCTTCTCTCTTCTACTCTCCTCTTCTCTCTGACCCTTTCCATCTCTGCTTTTCATCTATCCATATTGTCGGAAGTTTGACTTCTAAACTTCCTTCGCTTATATACTTCAGGAGGAACAAAGTTTATGCTTCTTGAAAGCTTTACAAAACATCCATTTCGGTCAACCGCGGATCACATTTTCAAGTCCGTTTTGTGTGGCAGGTGTGGGACGGTCAATTATCACCCTCTTTTAAATATATAAGATTTTAAAGCTTTTGGAGGGTGGGAATGCGACCGGGGTACGACAAAGCTCCATGCTAGGATTCTACGTTTTGTGTGGCAGGTGTGGGACGGTCAATTATCACCCTCTTTTAAATATATGAGATTTTAAAGCTTTTGGAGGGTGGGAATGCGACCGGGGTACGACAAAGCTCCATGCTAGGATTCTACGGGGAAAGGGTGTGCAGAAGAAGAAACCAAACATGTTCACTGTGGGAAGCTCAACAAGCGCAACTTTTGTCCTACCAGTGCGTCACGGCACATGTGTAGCAGTGCAGACAAAGAGGATGGAGACAGGCATGTTATGTGGAGTAATGACCAAGCTGAAGCAGGTGCAAAAATCAGCAAATGACTTGGCAATCCCCACTCAATAAAAGCTTTTTGACCCTTCAGAGGAACAAAAGTTTATTGCTTCTGAAGATTTACAAAAAACATCCATTTCGGTTTCAACCGGGATCACATTTTCAAGTCCGTTTGTGTGGCAGGGTGGGACGTGGTCAATTTCACCCTCTTTTAAATATATAAGTTTTAAAAGCTTTTGAGGTTGGGAATGCGACCGGGGTTTTAAAAACGACAAAGCCCATGCTAGGATTCTACGGGAAAGGGTGGCAGAAGAAGAAACCAACCATGTTCACTGTGGGAAGCTAAACAACGCGCCAACTTTTGTCCTACCAGTGCGTCACGGCACATGTGTAGCAGTGCAGACAAAGAGGATGGAGACAGACATGCTATGTGGAGTAATGACCAAGCTGAAGCAGGTGCAAAAATCAGCAAATGACGTGGCAATTCCCACTAAATAAGCTTTTCGTACCCCTCAGGAGGAACAAAGTTTATGCTTTTTGAAAGCTTTACAAGACATCCATGTCGGTCAACCGCGGATCGCATTTTCAAGTCCGTTTTGTGTGGCAGGTGTGGGACGGTCAATTATCACCCTCTTTTAAATATATAAGATTTTTAAAGCTTTTGGAGGGTGGAAATGCGACCGGGGTACGACAAAGCTCCATGCTAGGATTCTACGGGGAAAGGGTGTGCAGAAGAAGAAGCCAAACATGTTCACTGTGGGAAGCTCAACAAGCGCAACTTTTGTCCTACCAGTGCGTCACAGCACATGTGTAGCAGCGCAGACAAAGAGGATGGAGACAGACATGTTATGTGGAGTAATGACCAAGCATGACCAAGCTGAAGCAGGCGCAAAAATCAGCAAATGACGCGGCAATTCCCACTAAATAAGCTTTTTGTACCCTGCGTCACGGCACATGTGTAGCAGTGCAGACAAAGAGGATGGAGACAGGCATGTTATGTGGAGTAATGACCAAGCTGAAGCAGGTGCAAAAATCAGCATATGACTTGGCAATCCCCACTCAATAAGCTTTTTGTACCCTTCAGGAGGAACAAAGTTTATGCTTCTTGAAAGCTTTACAAAACATCCATTTCGGTCAACCGCGGATCACATTTTCAAGTCCGTTTTGTGTTGCAGGTGTGGGACGGTCAATTATCACCCTCTTTTAAATATATAAGATTTTAAAGCTTTTGGAGGGTGGGAATGCGACCGGGGTACGACAAAGCTCCATGATAGGATTCTACGGGGAAAGGGTGTGCAGAAGAAGAAACCAACCATGTTCACTGTGGGAAGCTCAACAAGCGCAACTTTTGTCCTACCAGTGCGTCACGGCACATGTGTAGCAGTGCAGACAAAGAGGATGGAGACAGGCATGTTATGTGGAGTAATGACCAAGCTGAAGCAGGTGCAAAAATCAGCAAATGACTTGGCAATCCCCACTCAATAAGCTTTTTGTACCCTGCGTCACGGCACATGTGTAGCAGTGCAGACAAAGAGGATGGAGACAGGCATGTTATGTGGAGTAATGACCAAGCTGAAGCAGGTGCAAAAATCAGCAAATGACTTGGCAATCCCCACTCAATAAGCTTTTTGTACCCTGCGTCACGGCACATGTGTAGCAGTGCAGACAAAGAGGATGGAGACAGGCATGTTATGAGGAGTAATGACCAAGCTGAAGCAGGTGCAAAAATCAGCAAATGACTTGGCAATCCCCACTCAATAAGCTTTTTGTACCCTTCAGGAGGAACAAAGTTTATGCTTCTTGAAAGCTTTACAAAACATCCATTTCGGTCAACCGCGGATCACATTTTCAAGTCCGTTTTGTGTGGCAGGTGTGGGACGGTCAATTATCACCCTCTTTTAAATATATAAGATTTTAAAGCTTTTGGAGGGTGGGAATGCGACCGGGGTACGACAAAGCTCCATGATAGGATTCTACGGGGAAAGGGTGTGCAGAAGAAGAAACCAACCATGTTCACTGTGGGAAGCTCAACAAGCGCAACTTTTGTCCTACCAGTGCGTCACGGCACATGTGTAGCAGTGCAGACAAAGAGGATGGAGACAGGCATGTTATGTGGAGTATGACCAAGCTGAAGCAGGTGCAAAAATCAGCAAATGACTTGGCAATCCCCACTCAATAAGCTTTTTGTACCCTTCAGGAGGAACAAAGTTTATGCTTCTTGAAAGCTTTACAAAACATCCATTTCGGTCAACCGCGGATCACATTTTCAAGTCCGTTTTGTGTGGCAGGTGTGGGACGGTCAATTATCACCCTCTTTTAAATATATAAGATTTTAAAGCTTTTGGAGGGTGGGAATGCGACCGGGGTACGACAAAGCTCCATGCTAGGATTCTACGGGGAAAGGGTGCGCAGAAGAAGAAACCAACCATGTTCACTGTGGGAAGCTCAACAAGCGCAACTTTTGTCCTACCAGTGCGTCACGGCACATGTGTAGCAGTGCAGACAAAGAGGATGGAGAAAGGCATGTTATGTGGAGTAATGACCAAGCTGAAGCAGGTGCAAAAATCAGCAAATGACTTGGCAATCCCCACTCAATAAGCTTTTTGTACCCTTCAGGAGGAACAAAGTTTATGCTTCTTGAAAGCTTTACAAAACATCCATTTTGGTCAACCGCGGATCACATTTTCAAGTCCGTTTTGTGTGGCAGGTGTGGGACGGTCAATTATCACCCTCTTTTAAATATACAAGATTTTAAAGCTTTTGGAGGGTGGAAATGCGACCGGGGTACGACAAAGCTCCATGCTAGGATTCTACGGGGAAAGGGTGTGCAGAAGAAGAAACCAACCAAGTTCACTGTGGGAAGCTCAACCAGCGCAACTTTTGTCCTACCAGTGCGTCACGGCACATGTGTAGCAGTGCAGACAAAGAGGATGGAGACAGACATGTTGTGGAGTAATTACCAAGCTGAAGCAGGTGCAAAAATCAGCAAATGACTTGGCAATCCCCACTCAATAAGCTTTTTGTACCCTGCGTCACGGCACATGACAAAGTTTATGCGTCTTGAAAAGCTTTACAAAACATCCATTTCGGTCAACCGCGGATCACATTTTCAAGTCCGTTTTGTGTGGCAGGTGTGGGACGGTCAATTATCACCCTCTTTTAAATATATAAGATTTTAAAGCTTTTGGAGGGTGGGAATGCGACCGGGGTACGACAAAGCTCCATGCTAGGATTCTACGGAGAAAGGGTGTGCAGAAGAAGAAACCAACCATGTTCACTGTGGGAAGCTCAACAAGCGCAACTTTTGTCCTACCAGTGCGTCACGGCACATGTGTAGCAGTGCAGACAAAGAGGATGGAGACAGGCATGTTATGTGGAGTAATGACCAAGCTGAAGCAGGTGTAAAAATCAGCAAATGACTTGGCAATCCCCACTCAATAAGCTTTTTGTACCCTTCAGGAGGAACAAAGTTTATGCTTCTTGAAAGCTTTACAAAACATCCATTTCGGTCAACCGCGGATCACATTTTCAAGTCCGTTTTGTGTGGCAGGTGTGGGACGGTCAATTATCACCCTCTTTTAAATATATAAGATTTTAAAGCTTTTGGAGGGTGGGAATGCGACCGGGGAACGACAAAGCTCCATGCTAGGATTCTACGGGGAAAGGGTGTGCAGAAGAAGAAACCAACCATGTTCACTGTGGGAAGCTCAACAAGCGCAACTTTTGTCCTACCAGTGTATATATATATATACACATAAGGATAACTACCTGAGTGGGTATTTGTTAGGTAAGAGTGAATATGGGATATATCATGGATGATATGACTTTGGGATTCTAAATATACGACCGAAGAACACGAGGAGATGTGTGACTGGCCCCACCGTGTGGTTCAAACACACCAAAATCTGAATCCTATTGCATGGATTGTGTTTGAACTTTCAATATCTATCAGATTCATCAGATTCATCAGATTGTGAACTTTCTGCTTCAAAAAAATCTAAAAGTTCTATGGCAACCTACAATGGATGGAAGAAGTCCTGCATCAGTTGGCAAGTGGTTGTATCGCAGTATTTATGTTTTTTTAAGGGCTTGAACTATCCAAGGTAGTGCAGGATTTCTTCCCATCCGCAGTATGTGTACATTCAACATCCATGCCCATTTCCATTCGTGCCTCATCTTCTTCGATGTCATCTCCTTGATCCTAAAGAAGGCATGTGAATGCATGCGGTCAGCCTTCTTTCTACAGAAGGATTAACATGATTTTAAACCGAACAAAACAAAAAGACACCTCCAATGCCTTTGGCTGCGTGGCTGTCAGCTTTTGTAGAACGTGTCATATAGAACGTGTCAAACTTCTTTCAGTGGTTCTGTAAATCGATCCATATACAAGCTGATTTGGGGTTCATTCATTCACTAGAATAGAAAAATTATGACCAATAGGATGTGGCTTGAACGAAAATGTATTTCCCCCAAAATCCGACGGACTGTCATCATGTTACCAAACAGAATGGTTGTGTATATAGTGTAGTTAGTTGGGGTTTTCCCTGTTTTGAAACGAAGCCATGCAGTGGATCCACGTCAAACTTTCAGGATCACCTTCGTGCGGCCCAGGTCGCAGCTGGGTTCCACCCAGAGCTTCCCAGCCCAGTCATCAACTGGATCTAAACATGGGCTGTGTCAATGCCGTAGCCCCACTTTCTATAAGTTATAGAGGGTATTGGAAAAATTGGAAAATGGTTCTCAATAGTTATCACAGGTATGTATAAGTTATCCATGAGGCTATTGGAAAATGCTTCTCAGTTGCGGACTTATGAAAAAATGCCAATTTAAGGTCTTTCCCAATGCTCAGACAGACCCACATAGGTATGGGTCAGAATTGGGTACCCCAATACTTGGATAGTCTGTTTTCCCCCAAGCCCTCAATTTTCACCCACTGCTCGCATCTGCTTGCGCCTTCGCATCAGCAACGCCTCTGGAAAAAAATCTGTATTCCACCTCTGCCAAGTCCTGCGTCACGGAGCTGGCACCGTGCCAAGCTCTTGAGCATTGCGTTTCGATGTGTCTGAAACCGGGGCGGTATACCCCCCCAAAACTGGCAGGGTTAATGAACATAAAATGATAAATCACATGTATAATGCATATTCCTAGGGATGACTGCCTGAACTAGCCATGGCTGTTAACCACTCTCGGCCACAGTTGATGGTCAATACCAGTTAGCCAAGGTCGAATAGGCAACGATGGTAAGTTGGCTGCTGTGTTCCCAAGACTTCCCTAAAACAACCCATGGCTATAGGTTTTTGGAAACTATGCAGCAACTCTGTTTCCTCCAGGGCACAGACATTGCAACAGCCACTAGACAGCTTTTCTAGGTGAAGCATACATGCTTTACACCTGAAAGCGTTGCTTGCTATCTGGTTGTGTCTGAAATTGGGTATCCCAATACCATTGGTTGACCTTGGTTGACCATCATATTTCCCATTCGACATTTTGGGGGTATAGCCTGTATAGCACATTTTCAGACCCATTTCATGTTGTATTTATGATAAACCCCGTTGGCATATGTTGAAGGTCCCCAATTTTGTGACACGACACCGCCCACCTTCTGCTTGACGGCAGTCTTGTCATTGTCGGTCGTCCTATTGTCCTGCGCGAAAGTGATGAACCGTGATTCATACAATGTGGGCCCCGCGGTGATGTTTCTTGGTTTATAAGTCTCATGGATCCTATAGTTATTTGCGAATCATAAACCATAATCATTTGGAGTGATTTCAACCAACTTAGCTACCGTTTGGGGGCCCTACATTGTACCCTCAATACTTGTGGATCACCATGAAAAGATGGGGATTCCATTGGGTACAACCGACCAAGTCGATCCAACTCCAAGCTTTCCAAGCTGCAACTGGTTCTGGGGCAACAATTTCTGCATGAATCCTGAGAAAAAACTAGGTGGTTGATGTCTTCAACCCCTAGTAATCCACCCGCCTGGTGGCTCAAAGCTCCTGAAAAGTACCATCTGGTTATTTAACATAGCCATGGAAAATCACCATTTTTAAGAACGGTAAACCATAAACCATCCATAAATGGGCCATCTATACCATGGCTATGTTAGTCATAACCAGAGGGTATGTAACCCGATGAGCTAATTCATGGCGAATGAACAAAGACCCACTTAAACCCTGCAACAAAAATAGCTGCAATGGGTAAGTACCTCTTCCCAATTATGAAACAAAAAGTAACCCATCCGGGTACTCAATCAGCGACCGGCTTACCATAATGGGGGTTGTTGGGATTGAAAACCATGCGACCAGCTCAAGATGTCCTCCTTTTTCTGAATGTTTGCCTTTGCCAAGCACATCTTCATTTTTTCCTGGAGGTCCTGGAGTTAGCATGGAACTCTGCTAGATCGGATGGTGCTTGAAGCACCCCAACAGCAAAATACCGGTAAGTCTGAAAATACAGTTTTTGGTTGGTGGTCGTCAGCTGGGATGATGCAATTCGCAATATGGAAAAAACATGTTCCAAACACCAACCAGGTTTCCTTGTAAAGGGATGTCAAGGGGACCCTGATGATAAATCTTTTGACAAACGCATATATGTCCGACAAGCGAAAAACCGGTGTGGAAACGGTCCTAGTAGGCCATACGAAGTGGCAACTCCAATAACTATATATATATATGACACCTGAAACTAGAATGTACATGGGATGAATATAAACTGAATCTAAACCAAGTTACAAGCATCAGATGCAGAGATTGGTAAACATTGGTTCCCCCAAAGCTGATGGTTCAAGACCCCAGGACCTCAAATTTAACCCAAACTTTGAGAATATGAAGGCCCAAAACGTGAAATCAGTGGGCAAGAAAGCTGGAAATGCTGCTGCTCTTTCAATCAAATTAGATACATAGCAGTTTGTATTTCCAAAGGTCTGTCTGCATCGAAATATCTCAAACCTTTGGCAGTTTATATCTCTCTTTTGGCCTGAACTTTAAAAGCCAACCAGCAACAGATGGACTGATGATCTTCTGTTGCCAACCATCCCACTTCGAATTTCGAAGAACACATTTTGACCCATAGCCATGTATACATTCTTCAAGTGCTGCAAGGATTCCAAAAAGCGTGCTAGCCAGGAAGGTTCAGGATACAACAGCTAGAAAAATGTTACTGTACTCATTGAATCTCGGACTTACAAATCACATCAGCCCCAAGACAGATGAATTAATATATTAAATCAGGATTGTTGAATCAAATTCATCCATCAAACCTTCCACCAAAACCCCAAGATTCATCCGGTCTCTGTGTCCAAGCCTTTAGTGACATCAGTTGGAATCTACCCTCTGGTAAACAGCCACATAACTATGGAAAATCACCATTTTTCATGGGAAAATCCATTGTAGATGGTGATTTTCCATAGCAAACTGTTAAATTACCAGACAGTACCATTTCCAACAGAAAATTCCTCGTGAAAAACCTCGCGAATCTGGTTGAAAACTTGGACCCAATCTGCAACCACATATCATGGCTAACGTTGAAACTCTATATGCAATAAGGCAAGTTCTATTTTGAGTGGGGATGATAAATGTTCCCTCATTCAAAGAAAACTTGGGGGTGCAGTTCCAGCTACAAGCGTTGATCATATTCATATAACCATTGTGATATTGGTTTTTTCCCAGCTTGGCGATAATTTCCACGTTTATAACAATGAACAATAATCGAACTGCACTTCCAAAGAAGAAACGCAATACCATCAAGTACCTATATCTCCGCCTTTCTTTCCATTTTTTGTCAAGGAAAATACCGACACAGCACCGAGAGGGACGCCCAGTAGCGCCGTCCTGCTGTCTGGCTCTGACTGCCCCCTGTGTTCGCGGAGGGTCAGGGTGGCAAGTTGGTTTGAATCACTCCAATTTCAATATGGTTTATGATACCTAAGCCTATAATATTCATGGGGATTAAGAATTAACTGATAACTATTGGGCCCCAGATTGCAATGATTATATAGTGGGTCATGTAGTGGGGAAGACCATGTATGCATGCTGATAGAGTGGGGATAAACAAATAACCAACAAGGGAACATGATACTTTGGGGTGCGGTTGACTTTTAACCCCAATAAGTTGGGATATTGGCACTCCTATAACTAGGGACATATATCCATGTGTATCTGGAATTGCACTAGCAAGTAGATGTGAAACCAGATAAAGGGACAAATAAAACATTATGGGTCGGTCAGAAAATAGCGAATCACACAAAAAAAACTGTTGAATAAGCAAGAAAAATCGTCCATGGCATTTCTCGGATACCTTATGATTAATGCATGTCACATCATGCCACCAGGTCTTGAATGTGATGTTTGCTATTGCTGCCAAGAAACTGTATAGATGTTGTGGGTGTTGTTGAACCAATGGTACTCTACCCGACTCTACCCCAGATTCC